TGAATAATGCAGCCTATGTAGACTCTATAAAAGATACATGTGCACACGCAGAGATGGCTACGGATCAGCTCTGCAGGGTATAGGTATTCCTTCAGCAAAACCAAGTGTCATTGTTGTGGAAAAGCTTTTTAACTTCAGCTGAAAATATGTAGTTGTTCTTCCAGACAGAAACATCTTTTAGACCTGATACTCGATCGGTCTGCCTGGCACCCTGCCTGCCTGGTGTCTTTGCAGTCACCTTGAACAGGCTTTTGTGGTTTCAAACCATAAAACTTGGGGAATTACACAGCACATTCAGCGCTGGAGGCTCGGATTTCAGAGCATCTCTCAGAATCGTGGTAAAGAAAGAAAAAAGCATCCAGCGGAGTGTACGCAGAGAGGGGGAGAGGAGGGGTCCGGGTGAAGGGTAAATGCTGCACTCATGTGGGGAGAATGAGCAGCGCCTTTGGAGTCAGATGACAGACGCACACACTGCGCAGCGGCCCGTGCTGAGTTCAGGGTGAATCCGAAACTTCAGGAGACGAACTCCTAAAAGTTTACAACTTTCTTGTGGTTGTGTATGTAGAAGAGCGCATGCAGCTTAACGTTATTTTTCAACGTGTTTGAATAAAGTTCTTTGTACAGTCAAAAACCTGCACCATGAATATTCTCCAGCTCCGCAGTCCTGACCGAACCAAGCATCAACATCTGAAGATGAGTCTCGGGCAGAGCCATATTGGCACTATGTTGTCAACTGCAAATGGGTAAATAAACTAAACTGTGCTGAACACAGATTAAAGCATCAATACCTAACTTTCTGGAGTTGAAAAACACCTGCATGATTGCACACAAATACAACTTCATGTTAAAATCACAATATGAAACATTCTCTGATGAGGTGTACAATTACATGTTGTGGGAAATTACATACGAAGTAACAATACTTCCAGAGAAAAAAAAAAAAAAACTTCTACACGACAACTATCCAGAGTGAGATTTGTAGAAATGCTAGCTCACTCAAATTTAAAACACAACTTCTTCATCGTAATAAAACTATTGAACAATCCTCATATTCCATTATTGTCTAATTATGAATACATAAATAAACATGTTGAATGAAACGTGTGTAAGTGGTATAATACTTGTACTCTCAGGTGATATGTAAGGACCACAGGTAATGACTACAGTTGAGTTTTCCCACTGGCCCTGAAGGCCACGCTGACACACTTCGCAGCAGCAGCAGCCCCGCTCGGACTCGGAGCGACTGAAGGAATCCTCCACAAGTGCCGCTCCGTCAAGTTTACATTCCCCAGAGAAGGAGGAGTTGTGAGGTCACGTTTGGACCAGGAGGACGAGCTGACTGCACAGGTGAAATATTTCCGTGTATTTTCACCTCTAGTCTTGTTGTTTGGCGGTGGCGATAGTTAGATGTCAGGAACAGCGGAAGGAACTAGCTGACTGACTTAGCACGCTAAAGTTAGCCACAAGTTGCGTGGGTCCACGGGAGTTAAGTTGTGTTCACTGGATTGGACAACAACCTCATCCTTTACAATGTAAGCCTCTTCTATGTGACTTTGACAGCCTAATGTAAGTGATTGAACTGTTGGAACAGAGAGTAGGAGTCATGTGTGTTGTCACTGTCCAGAGCCTGTGGTGACGTCACCCGTTTGTCAAGTGACCCAAGTTAAAATGTTACAAAGTGCTCGTATTCACGCGTTTTACACTTTCTAGGATCATAAAAGAGTCGTTTCTACATTGTACTTCCTTTTTAGGAGGGCAGAGAGTGGAAGTGACTAATTGTATGGCATACTTCACAAACCCAATGTACACTTCTCTATTCTGGCTGAAAAAGATCCTCAATTGTGGCTGAAACTGTTTAGAAAATACCCAGTGATATGACGTAATTACGTCGTATTATCAATGTCTGGACGTAGCCACTTGACAATATAAATTATTGTTTTAGATATACTCATGTGTATATATATTTAAGACTATGCATAATAATGCACAGTCGTTTCCAGTCTGTTAGTTGATGTCAGCTTATTGTTTCATGCAATGTTTTGAAAACTTTTTAGAAGATATAATATAATGAATTTTAATTGTTTGGCTATGGCAATGTTCATCGTTTGTCATAATTTTGAATGGGAAGGAGTAGAACTCAGTATTGTATTTTGATTAACCCTTGAGGTAATTTTCTCAGACAAAATATGGAGTTGATTTGTCACTTTATATGAGAGAGAGGACTACTAAAGTCAATAACGAGCGTAAATAAAAGAAAAATACATTATATAAATATAGGGAAACAAATGTGGGGAGTCAGTGTAAAGTAAAGTGTTCTGGTTCCTGCCAAAAGGGGTATTTATAAACTTACTTTTGTTTATAAAGTGAACTAGCCACGATAATCCTGATGAACTGATATTTCACTAGTTAGTACCGTAGAAGCCAATACGTTTTTTGTATTACTATTTTCATCAGCATTAGTTTTAATGGAAAAAAACATATACTTGCTTGGATGAAAATCTGTAGTCTGTTAGCAATTGAACCTAAGATCATGCGCCTGATATGCGCTCACTCTGGGACAAAGGAGTCGGTTTGACAGTGTTGTCTTGAGGTGGAGGAACAGGTTTGAGAGGAACAACCAGAAAGGCCTCCCTCTGTATTGCAACCCATAAGAAGAGAGCTGTAAGGAGCTGTGGCCAGTACAATAGGCTTTTATGCCATGAGTTATAGTTATAAGAACACACATGTTTTGTAGCGGGTCATTTTACTCTAGTGACACACTTTTGTTATTGAGCGTAAACTTGGTTAGATCGGTGTGGTTCTGTCTGCGCATCCTAAAGGCGGCAGGAGGATCAATACACGGCTATATCGAGGTTGGTTTACTGACACTCGCAATTGATAGCCATTTAATACACACATGTTCAGCCATGCTTCAGTTTATTCAGCAGCATCATCATTTCACTTAAGACAAAGTCTGTATCTGTCTAATGGTTGCTTCATCAGTAGTTTTGATGATGCAGTAATATTCATGTTGTTGATGGTTGCTTATTCAAAGTTATACGTGGCGGGGGTTCGTAGAGATGTGCCAGCGTTTTTTGTCTATTCTCAACCAATTATACTTATTTTCTTAAAGCATGGGTCTTAGCTGATGTGTGTAAAGTTATTGATGAACTCACTTCTTTCACACAGTATTTAAGGCCCATACTTCATACATTTTTATAGTTCTCAGTCAGTACTTATAGTGTTTTAAAAACAACATTACATTGTATAACATAATTAAACACATCATTTAAATAATTAAATATAAATTATAATATACACAATACATAATATAAAAAGGTCATAATGTTATCATACTAAAATTGCCTTCAAGTATTCTCCCTGGAAGCAAAATCAAGCAATCAAATATATCAATTATAGATTACATTTTTCAGGAATAACTAGGAAGATCTACAGTCCTTATATGTGAACAAAGTGTTCCTTTTCATCTAAAAAACACAGCGTCAACACCTCATTATCAAATCCTGTGAAGAGTCCGCGTGCCCTCCGGAAGTGCGTGTCCAACAGGGAAGGAGAAGTTCACAGGTTACTCTGGAAACAGGAAAATGTCAAATTGTCCCAAACACAATAGAAGAATGATGAGCTAGTAAACAATTTTGAAGGTTCAAATTAATCATTTATTTCAAAGATGTTCTCTTTTCTAATCCAGCCATAAGGAGAGCTCTGTGGAGGTCATAGCGGAACATGTGTAAGGCATTCTATGCACCCAGATGATGATGTCACATGTAATCACTGCAAACCAATCAAATATGTTTTTTGAATAATTAAATTAGAAATTTTGTTGGACCAGGTATTGGGATGATATCGTAGACCTTTACTGACTGATAATAACCAAGAGTGTTGATCATACAAAGTCGTCCTGTTACTTCCAGAACAAACAAAACAAACATACTATTTTCATTTTTGACCTTCACTAGTTTTAGTTATTAATAGCTTTATAGCCACTAGTAATGAAAATGACTGGTTCAGTGTCACACTAGTATCCTCAGATATTGAGCTGTACCCCAGGGTAGGTCAACACAATTTAGATTTAACTTTATATGTTTTGTAACTATCAAAAATCTACAATTGTAAATGTTGACTTTGTAGATTGAGTGATATTTGATTGATTTTACCTTTCACCAGTTACAGCATGTGCAGTGAATCCAAATGCAAAATGTGCCCTGACTTCTGACTGGCATTTCCCCAGGCTGAAAATAAAATATAAAATGAATAAGTTACAGGCTGGTTCTCATTTGAAGGCACATCATGTTGTTTGTGAGCAAAATTAATTAACATTGGTTTGTTGTTTGAATAATTTGTGTTATTTTAACCCTTGATCCAGCCATGTTTCATAGTCTACATTCTCCTCAACAACTAACCCAAATATTTTCCCTCAAAACTAACTCTGTGAATCATGAAAGTTAAAAAAACATGCTACAAATAATAAATATATAATTTATAGACTCAGCCTCAAGAGAAGCATGAAGCACGACTCCTTTGATCTGATTTACATTGGCTGCATTAATGTTGTTAAGTCTTTGAAATAACTTGGATCAGGACTTGTGAGTGTAAGCAGACTCTAAATGTACTTTTCCCTTTTCATTTCACTATAATAACAAATTTTCCCTCACAATTCACATGTATGTTTCTTATTCACATGTGACAGCAAAGAGTCATTTGGTTAGGTTTTGCATCGACAATGGGACACTGTTCTGTGTATAATATACGTATATACCAATTCCAGAGAAGTGGTATGTACTGTTGACTGGCAGCTGGTGTCATGTCTAATTCCACTGTAAAACACGTTCCTTGAATTACTGTGAACAATCAATCACTCTTTAGTCCTTGATTTGAACCACTACACATTGGTATTGGTAATAATTAGCCATTTTAAATTAATGTATCTTTTTTTTCTCTTTCCTTTCAGGCCACAAAACATAGAACTTGGAGCCACGGGAGGAGCCTCCAAAACAGACAAGATGAACATGGACGACATGACGGTGGAGCAGATGACCATGAGGGCCAACCAGGTCACAGATGAGGTACAGACCACACAAACCCAGTGACATTCTGTATTCTCAGCCCCCCACTTTCATTTGAATGATACACAGGATTGAGAAAGAATGTTTGTGTTTAGGCTCGACTTTGGCATTGTGATGACAGGGCAGAGGATTCTAATGAATTGAAAACTTAAGTGAATGCATCAGTGGATTTTATTGCTCACCAGGGATTAATGGAATACTCAAGTAGACAGTAGCAGCACGAGTGGATCGCAATCTTGCTTCTCAGCAAGAAGGTCCTGGTTTCGAATCCCGGTCGGAACAGGGCCTTTCTGAGTGGCGTTTGCATTTTCTCCGTGTCTCTGCGTAGGTTTACTCACTCCCGTCTCTGTGTAGAGTGACAGACAAATAACGCTTTACAATTGTTAAGGCCATGTGACGCAGGTCTGTGAAAGGCGCTATATAAATAAAGATTACTTACTTACAAGCTTTTTGACAACTTTACATTCTTTATTGTCCTACCAAAACCATATTGCCGAATCTCATTCCTTATACTATTAATTCTTAGGGAATTTTTCTGATCGGATTTGTCCTGTTGGATCTAAGTTTGATTGGTTTAACATTCTTTCACTCTTTTACAGCAACTTAAAGCTGCACTAACTGACTTTGGGATTTTGAAGCCGCGGACTCGCTGGCCTCTCTCTTTCTGCTCCCCTCCCCGCACCCACGAAGCTATCGCCCCCCACACACACCCACTGTTGGGACGTAGCTAGCGTATCCCAATATGGATAATACACGAATATGGATTTTCACGTGGATGGCGTGACCATAAAACGATAGAACCGGGAAGCGCGGAGGAACGGGACTTTCTTTTGGATGGCTGTCTCGCTGTGTAAGCAGTAACCGGTGATGAAGAGACACAAAGTTTCAGGTTAGCTCCGCTGCTTGTTGTGCTAACTCAGCCGTCTATGCTAACGGACCTGGAGATTTCTCACGAAAGTGGGGGCTAGTGGTGCGCTGCTATTGGTCACAATCCGCGACCCGAAACACATTCTCTTCCTTGTTTCATCAAAACTCGATCTAAAATATAATGTCACGCCAGCACAAATCTGCGCTACTTTTTCTTCAAAATGATGTATATCCCAATGCACTACATGGACATGGATAGCATTTTCGTAATGAATACAAAAATAAAGTCAGTTAGTGCAGCTTTAAACATGCACATATGTAAGTGTTCTGATTTTCCATCTGCGTTTTCTTCTTGGATATTATTTTCATCTAGAACGTCTCCCCACAGATATGAGCAGTAACTTAGCCTGGTCACCTGTGTGTTTATAAAAGATGACTGTTCCACCGTATTAATACATCAGGCTGGAACGTTCCAAACACATTGGTGAATTCTAAATTCAATTTTGGCTTTTATCTAACGAATAGGACTTGAAGAACTACTTGTAGGATGTATTCCTGAGGACTTGTAACGGCTGTACTCATTGTAAAACATTTGGTCAGCAGCTGTAGTAGATGTTTTGTTGGCTCATGTTGTTAATCTTCCTTCAGAGCTCGGCCCCAAAACACTTGACTTTGCAGCACCTTTGTTTTGCTGACCGCAGCCGGCTTTGTTCTTAAAAGTGCCAAAATGTCTGCAGTATGGCTGCGAAGGGAGAGCACAGATGCCACATGGGAGGCTTTAGGGCTTTAGGGCACCATGTAACCAGCTCAAACATGCTGCAACAAGGACCCACTTATCCTTACATAGACAGAGTTGGGCCATAACAATGTACTACATCGGCCATAACAAGACTTCAGGTATTATGCAAGATATATTATGAAGGATATATTATGAATCTAATGTTGACCTTCCTTCACAGAATATCTGTTCTGCTGTGCGACATAATTTAATGTTAGGAACAAATACAGCAATTAATTTGTTTTTTTGTATTTGTTTACGTGTTAAAGAAATTTACCGTTTTTATCACATCCACCTGGATTCACGGCTCATGGGTACTGTGGTTGTCCAAAGCACTTTTGATAAACTGTGTTTGGTGAAATATATTGTTCAGTGTAGACAAACCACTCCTGAAACATTTTTGAGAAATTTCAGATCTATTTTAGAATCGGGTTGTGCCAAAAAAAAAAAAACATTTCTGTCTACATTTTGGAAATTTTGATGGTGGAATCAATGTAATAAAGTAATTTCCCTTCCAGTTTGGATCAATAATGTTTATTGCCATGTAAGCAACAAGAAGTCACAGACTAGGAAATTGCTTCGGTGCATCAGTCCGAAAAGAGAGGTAAAGTATAGAGAATAGAGTAAGGCATAATAAAAATCAGCGTACACTTCTAAGGTATGGAATTTAAAAAAGAATTATCACAATTACTATTTACAATATTATACAAGTGCACATAGTGCACACAATATGCGGTAAGCAGTGCAATAAGGTGACTGCTTCATAGAAAACCCGGGGGGAAAAACCCTTTAAAAGTCTGGACTCTGGAGGTCTATGATTATTTGTTTCTAGAAAGGTTGGGCCATTTTTTTCCGTGAAACAGAAGTCCGTGATTGTGTGGAAAGCTGAGGTCAGAGCAGATGGAGTCACCGCGGGATTCACATCTGCTGTGGGTGATTACGAAGAAGAATAGAGAAATCATCACTCTCTGTGTCAGTAAAACCGGGGAAGTTTTTCTTTCTGTTGATCCCAGAATCCAGGCTTTCTTCTGAGCGTTCATTCTCCTGATTGCGTTTTTTGCTGTTCTTTTCCGAAGGAATTCGAACCTTTATCTGGTCCCAGCGGGCTGTACAACCAACCACGCAACAAGAGTGGACCATTTTATTAAGTAAAACCTCTCTCCAAATGTCTAAATCTAGCTAACTCTCTAGCATCCAGTTAGCTTTTGCTGCTGTTTTGCCACCCAGTCACATGACCAGCGCGGAAAAACTATTAACAACTATGTCACAAAAGATCCTCCTATTGCCAGTGACTCCTAATCTTCATGTAGATGCAGGAAACTTACTGACATTGGATTACACATTAAAAGGCCATCAACTGGATTCTAATCAGGCTAATTGTATGAAATGTGGAATCAGGTTAATGGTTAATTTACAAAGATGGTTTCACTTCTGCTTTGACAGCTCCAGTGTTGTTGTCCGCCATATTCAAAATGTTTATTATAACACGGATAATTGTTCTATCAGCTCTCCAGGGCACACAGCCGTTAACCATCTGATGTTAATGACCAAATGTGTAAATGCATATTCAAAAGCTTGCAACCTTCGTCACCCTTCACCTTCGTCGGCGGTAATTTCCCTCTATCATAATGTACAATATGGAAGGAACCATATGCTGACTTTATAATCAAACTATATCATCATAGTGTAACTAGATGGAAGGATGCCTCTGTCTTTGTATCATATACATATACTGTATATATACTGTATATACAGTGCCTTGCGAAAGTATTCGGCCCCCTTGAACCTTTCAACATTTTGTTATGAATCAACAACAAGTGGGACACAATCGTGAAGTGGAACGAAATTTATTGGATAATTTAAACTTCTAAAAAAAATAAAAAACTGAAAAGTAGGGCGTGCAATATTATTCAGCCCCTTTACTTTCAGTGCAGCAAACTCACTCCAGAAGTTCAGTGAGGATCTTTGAATGATCCAATGTTGTCCTAAATGACTGATGATAAATAGAATGCACCTGTGTGTAATCAAGTCTCCGTATAAATGCACCTGCTCTTTGATAGTCTTAGGGTTCTGTTTAAAGCGCAGAGAGAACCATGAAGACAAAGGAACACACCAGGCAGGTCCGAGATACTGTTGTGGAGAAGTTTAAAGCCGGATTTGGATACAAAAAGATTTCCCAAGCTTTAAACATCTCAAGGAGCACTGTGCAAGCAATTATATTGAAATGGAAGGAGTATCAGACCACTGCAAATCTACCAAGACCCGGCCGTCCCTCCAAACTTTCATCTCAAACAAGGAGAAGACTGATCAGAGATGCAGCCAAGAGGCCCATGATCGCTCTGGATGAACTGCAGAGTGAGTGAGTTTGCTGCACTGAAAGTAAAGGGGCCGAATAATATTGCACGCCCCACTTTTCAGTTTTTTATTTGTTGTCTGCGGGCGGCACGGTGGCTGAGTGGATAGCACTCTCGCCTCTCAGCAAGAAGGTCCTGGGTTCAAATCCCGGTTGGACCAGGGCCTTTCTGAGTGGAGTTTGCATGTTCTCCCCGTGTCTGCGTAGGTTTCCTCCGGGTGCTCCGGTTTCCCCTACCACTAAAAATATGTACAATAGGTCTGGCATGTGCCTCCTGTACTGGCACCCCCACTCCCAAAAAATAACAATTGTAAACCGCTTTGAGACTCCAATGTGCAGTGAAAAGGCGGTATATAAATAAAGATTACTTACTACTACTTACTACTAAAAAAGTTTAAATTATCCAATAAATCTTGTTCCACTTCACGATTGTGTCCCACTTGTTGTTGATTCATGACAAAAAATTTAAATTTTATATCTTTATGTTTGAAGCCTGAAATATGGCGAAATGTTGAAAGGTTCAAGGGGGCCGAATACTTTTGCAAGGCACTGTACATATACTGTATATACTGTAAATAGCCAGGAAATAATTAATGTGATTTGGCCAATATGTTTAAAATTGTATGTTTTATTAGTCCATGATGATGATGATATTCACTCTGCCACCCTCTTTTTGAGCCTCTTATTTGGCTCTTTTGTAACCACTCTCACATCTGAATCATCGAAACACGCCACAATCAAGGCCACATCTGCACCGGAAGAGACTAGGGCTTAGTGTTGCAATAGATTTAGCTTAGTATTGAGTCCTGGACAAAACCTTACAGGCCTCCAACAAAATGAGTTATTGATATTCTAAATAGATGTACTGGTTATTAGTAAGTAGAGCTACATGGTATATGTTTGCTAAGAGCAGGAGATGCTATAATATGTTTTGTGTGTCAGTCCTGTGAATTTTTGTTTTGTTTTTATTGCCTTTTTTGGATTCCTTTTCCATCTAATTAAAAGTATTTATTGGTGTTAAACTTAAAATCCTTCCTCTAACTGCCTTCTCTTCTTGAGCCAGCCACCATGTCCTAACTCCATTTAAGCCATCCCAAAATTGAGTTAAAAATACCTCTGCATTGTCTGAGTCCCAAAGTCCCAATCTGGAAAACTTGGCTGCCACCTCCATCTCGGACTTAATTAGCCAAGACCGTGGATATTTCAGCAACATAATGTAATGTTTACCAACCACTCCGCTGATGTTCTGCCTCAGATCTGGCCATGTCTTCTTTGCCAACTCACTGTTTGTCTGTTTCCCCCATGAATATTTCCCCCTCACACCTCAGAGAGCAGGAGGAGGATGAGAAGTCTTTGCGTTTCTGTTAACGCTTCATTAGAGATGGAAAGTGGAGCCGTGCCCCCAGTCATTTCCAGACCTCTTTTTCACACGCAGTGCTGTGGGCTCGGCTTCTGCTGAGAACTGAGCGGCTTAAACTCACCTGAACTGAATGGAATCTTCTGGCTCCACTTCTACTTTACGACTGTTTCAAAATGCTTTAATTGCAGGAAAATTATATATGCCGTTTACCAAGGATGCACATATCCAGCTTTTTAAAGTTGATTTGGTTTTCAATATCTGCCAATACCCAGTATATAAATCGTCCATTACAAGTGAAGCAGCATTTTCTCACCCTCAAATCTAATACTTGTGAGAAAATAAAGCATGTGATCAGTGTTTTTCATTGCTGATCCTGAAGTACCTACCTACTGAAGCAGTCGTCTTTATTAAACTACTGTTTTATTTGTTGTGTGATTAATTCAGATTCAGTCCGTGGCTGAGTGGGTAGCACTCATGCTTCACAGCAAGAAGGTTGTGGGATCAATCCCATGTCAGCCCTAGCCTTTTTATGTGGAGTTTACTTGTTTCTCCGTGTCTAAGGGCGGATTTTCTTCAGGCAGGTTTCAAAACATGCACCAAATCCTCCTGACAAGTTTGGCATTAAAGGGTGGGTCAAATACAAGGAGCAAATTTCCCCATGGGCTCAATAAAGAGTACCTTAACCTTAAAGGAATAGGCCACCGTTTTAACATACTGACATATGTTCTTACCTTACCTTAGACTAGTTGATATGTACCTGTCTGGTCTTTGTCAGTGTGCTCTGTCATGCAAACGGAGCACAAACGCAGCCTCTTCCACAGACTGTATAGTTCCAAATCAACTCCCGTTAGAAGCTACCAAACTCTTCCACGTGTTCCCTATTTAAATACACTTACGTGACGTGTTACACTACAAAGTATAGTAACACAGAAAAGTAACATGTCGATTTTCTCAGCGGATAAAAAGGGATACTATATTGTGAGGCGTAATAATACGAGGAGCACTACGTCCGCGCACTAACTTCTAAAGACTTCTGTCCCGCTCACTTCCGTCAATAGAAGCAGCGTGACTTGTAGTACGTACAGGAGCGGGAGAGAAGTCTTTAGGAGTTAGTGCGTGGACGTAGTGCATCTGGTATTATTACGCCTCACAATATAGTACCCCTTTTTATCCGCCGAGAAAATCGTCATGTTACTTTTCTGTGTTGCTATACTTTGTAGTGTAACACGTCACGTAACTGTATTTAAATAGGGAACACGTGGAAGAGTTTGGTAGCTTCTAACAGGAGCTGATTTGGAACTATGCAGTATGTGGAAGAGGCTGCGTTTGTGCTCCGTTTGCATGACAGAGCACACTGACAAAGACCAGACAGGTACATATCAACTAGTCTAAGGTAAGGTAAGAACATATGTCAGTATGTTAAAACGGTGGCCTATTCCTTTAACTGTAAGATTACTGACTGAGGAAAGTGGACTTTTATGTTTTACAGCGTTATGTTTGTGGACTCAGCTTCTGTTTCAAATAAACTTTGAACAAGACATTAAAACAGTTAAACTGTTGAGTAACCATTTGAATGTTTGCACACAACGGTCATGAGAAGCACAAGTAAAAGCATGTATAGAGTATAGACCTGTGACAACTACCACAATTTCAAAATTTCAGAGTTGCAGTGCACAAGAAATGAGCACCCAAACCAAATAAATATTTAGAAACAATAAGCATGTTGTTATAGTGGTGTAGTTACCATCGCTGTTTATCACAGACTCCAGGCCTCCACTGTAAATATTCCTTACACAATCACATTTACCTTGTGTGTTATGCAATTATGTACTCTTCCCGTGACGACATCACTCCGAGGCGTCTGAACTATGTGTGCTTCGTCATTAGCATAGAAAAATGAAACGCTAAACGAGTGCCGACGCCCCAGAGGGATTGTTTGAACAAAATGTTGCTTCAGGGAGTCGGAGTCCTCTTAACATAAAGATGAGAGCATCAATAAACAGCATCAGTGTCTGGGCTCATGCACTGAATGTCGTGTATCACAGACCACCGTGTTATTCACTGGGGAAACTCATGTTGCAGAGGTCTGTATAAAATATGTGGACTATAAAAAGTAGCTCCCGAAAGAATTTTCAGGGATAAAACTGGCCCTGGGCAGGGAGGTTCAATGACACCGCTATAGATTATACATGTGACAATATATGGGAGTAAAGTAGGGCTGCATGACTTTAAAGAAATATGTAGATGCGATTCTTCAGATAACAGTGCGATTTTGATTCGATTTGCAATTTCTCTAATGAAGCTATAGTAATGTTCATGGTGAAGGAGAAATCACATTTGTGAGAAAACACAAAAATGAATTTGTTTGTCGATTTAAATTGAACATATTTGATTTTATACATGTTCTCAAATCTGTGCCTAAAAGAAAGTTGGATAAGACTCATTTTGACCATTTTATCTGTCAATAATGACTCATTATGACAAATACTACCTTGTTTAGGTTCTTATTAGCCTGCTTATGACATTTGCAGTAGACCTTGTATTTCTAAGCCCTTTTCAGACCTATGTTTTTAATATGGATACAGATCATTTGCTGTTTGTAAGGTAACGTAATCCAAGTAATTATTGCAGTCTTTGTGGCCACAAAAAGTGCTATTTTGATTTGATTTCCATTGAAGAGGTCATTGCAGTCAGAAGAGGAGCTACTTGTGTAGATCAACATCTCCCATTTGTTGTATTGTAGTTTGTCACCGGCATATGGGTGGGGTGGAGTTTGGAATAAAAAGCCAAAATCATCTGCAAAGATGGAAGATGTAAAAGATACTTTGTTGGTATTTTGTGTGTTGATGGTAGGCAGTCATGATATTTGGTGAAAGTCGGTGCCTAAAGCCCGTGTTGTCTCTCCACAGTCTCTGGAGAGCACTCGTCGGATGTTGCAGCTGGCGGAGGAGGTGAGTCTGACTGAACACTCTGCTCTTCCACAAGTCGTTTCGCCAACATCACCAAATGTGCAGCATTTGTTTTGCATTTGACCTTTCCACACACATTTGTCGCGTTCATCTATTCAAATACTATAATCTGCCTTTTTTTTATCCCCAGTTAGTCTAAAACGCTGTTTTCTCTTTGATTTGTAGAGCAAACAGACCGGCGTCAACACCATGGTGATGTTGGACCAGCAAGGAGGTAATTGATAAACAATGCAATTAACGGTTAAAGGGAGACTGGGGGTCCACAACAAACATGGAGCCAACTGGAAAAGAAGCAGGGAGAAACAAAACCACCCATTTTGTTAATAGTATTTTGATTTTAAAGTGCATTTTTCTGTCCACTTTAATGAGAGACGTGGGGCCAATATTTTAATTAGTAATTTCCTTATTTTTTTGAGCAATAAGGAAATTACAATTGTGTTTTTTACCAGAAAATTAGAAGATTAGAAAAAGATTAGTGAATGTACTGGGTATCATAATTTTATATAAAAGTACACATATATCAAACATATCAAGGATTAGTTACGCTGTGTATAATTTTGTTAATAGGGTTAGGAAATTAAGGGCTAAACTTCAGCCAAAACCATTTCAGTCTTGAAATTTTCAATATGTGTTTTGACCAATGACTGTAGAAATAACAATAATATAAAAAGTACAGTTGAAAGTACGCCACTGGTTTTTTTCCGTTCTGTGGTTTATGGATATATGACTCAGGTCCTCGCACTTGCTGTTTATAAATGTGTGGCTTGAGTGGCTATTTCTTCTGTCTCCCCATTATTTCTCAGATTGGCAGAAAATCACTCTATAAAGTCCATAACACAAAAACAAATAGGAATTTTGAAGTGCCCACCCACTTTTGAGATCCATAAATAGTGCCGTAAAAGCAACAGATTTATTTTTGATGCCACACAGCTCTGTAAACATTGTGTGTCGCCCTTGTAGTAAATATATTTATGAAGTTTACTACTGTCTTATTTCAGGATTGCTCTTCACGTCGTCTCTTTTCTAGGTCAGCGCATGCATCCGTTCTGTCGTTTCTATATTCGCCACAGCTCACTGATATCTCGTTATTTATTCACAAACTTGCGGTGCCATTGTTGCACAGAGCAGCTGCCAGAGGTGTCAGTTTAAGAAAGGAAATACAAAAAAAAAAACTTGTCAGGGTTTCTGCATTTTTTCTTTTTTTTTGTAGCGTAAATTATAGATTGTAAAACATGGTCAAATTATAGTGTTGAAAGCTTAAAAATGACACATCAGTCACTCATAAAGGACTCTTCGTATCTGCTCTTCTCTGATGTGGTGTTCCATCGTAAATATTTATTCCCGTATAGTTTTTCTTATATCGTTTTTTTGCTTTGACTTTATTCTTTAAGACTTGTTTGTTGTCAGAACCAGTATATTTATTTTTCATGCATATGCTAATTGGCGTCTGGTTCATGCTGTGTGACCCACTTTAGTTCTCACACAAACTATTCAAGTTAATTATGTTTTTGGGAAAACCGTGACCAAAAAGAAGTTGAGACATAAACAAGGTGCATATTTTTTGTCTGTTTTTTTTTTTTTTGCATTGAAAATTACCGTAGTCAAATATGTGTTGATAGTTTTTGTTAATACAATCTTAGTTTTTCTGACGCCAAGATATTTGTTGATACTATCTTGCTTTACGTCAATCACTTTACGTCAATATCTTGTAACTGTACGTGACCAAAACATGTGGGTGATGTGGATTTTGTTTTGTACGTTAGTTTCAACAAGTAACTAAATGCGTTTGTAGGTTTCAAACAAAAACATTTGGTCGTTTCACTTTTATTGCTTCATTGTGTTTAATCCTTTTTTAATTTGTAACAATGAAACATTCATAATATGTGTATAGTAGATATAATGGTTGCTATTTCAGAACATACAATAACTTCAATGTTGTGTGTCTACTTTGCATTGAAGGTGAAAAAGTGTTTCAGTGTGCTGATCGGCCCACTGACTGACAGGTATCCAAAAATCGGCCCCCAGAGAAAAACGGCCCTGTGCTATAGACATATTTTCTACAGATATTGCACTAGTATTAATGATTGTTGAAGATACAGGTATATAAGGATGGAAAGTTTTCTATGCCAGAGGACTTCACCAATGTACCACTATTTATGCAACCTTTTTGAAATATATTTTATTGACAGCATTAGGAATGCAGTGACTAATCGAGGGGAAATAAAACAATCGTAGGGGTTAACTGGGCTGGTACTGTCTCTTATCCGTCCAAGATGTATACAAAATAAGAATATTGAGCTCAGCACTCCCCTGTCACCTGCTCGGGAGACAAACCCAAAGACCTGATTCCTGATGGAAGCGTGTTGTGTGCCGTGTGCAGAGCAGCTGAGGCATGTGGAGGACGGCATGGACCAGATCAACCAGGACATGAGACTGGCAGAGAAGAACCTGACGGACCTGTCCAAGTGCTGCGGCATGTGTGTGTGCCCATGTGACAGGTACAGACCCCCGCCTCCCCCTCTGTGTCCCCCATGCACCACTCACCCATGCTCGCTCATCTGTCCCAGCTGACTGAGCGCCTGTTTGTTTTCTCCTGACTTTGAATACATTTTCATCTCATTTCTCGAGCAGCGCACTGCTCTTGGTTCTACTTTCACTATGACAAACTTCTTGTGTTGACCTTTATGGCTACTTAAAGGTGCCTTGTCTTGTTTTTTTGTTCTGGAGAAATCTCATTCTTATGGCTTCTGGCATCCTGTTAAGATGCATGGAAGCCCTCTGGGGACACATGCTGTGATGTCACACAAAGATTTTACAGCAAGCTCCAACTTTGATGCTGTAGTATTTCTCAGTCGTACATGAGCCAATGGCAGGTGGTGATTGATGGCGTCCCTGTATCTATGTAATGCAGTGTTCCATCCTAAATGCAGACGGTTTTCCCACAAGAGACACGCAGTATGAACATTATCAGTAATACTTTTCATTCTCAAACTACCTGTGTCATATGTTCTGCTCATGTCAAATCAGCAAAAGTATTGAAGTACAACTCTGAAAATTAGAATATTGTTCAAAAGTTGTTTATTCTTCAATTCAACTTACAATAAGTTTGTGTAAGCCCTCAGTCGTACAGAGATTAGTGAAAGCAAAGGAAGGTTTCTCACCCATCATCTGTACTTCTTAGCAAGTTTTCCCGACGTTTTGTCCTCAAACTAGCGGACTTCTTCAGGGAATGAAGAATGTGAAACTTACAATGTGAAACTTGACAGATTCATTACACGCATAGTTGTATCGGATAATTAATACTTTTTTTTAATGTTGAAAATTTGCTCACAGCTTGTGAAACTCCTAGAAAAAACCTAAAAAGTGATAACAAACTAAGGCTTGGCATATGTCACTTTGTGTCTAATGATTATTCATCTGTTGGCTTCACATTTTAAGTTTTAAGAATTACAGAAATAAACAAACTGTATATATTAGTTTTTAAATTTGCACAAAGTCTTTATTCCCGACCTGTAAGAACATGACAGACGCAGAATGGATAAAAACATCAAGACATCACAGCAGCGTCTCCGCCTCTTTGCCTGAGTGTGTCTTTTGAACAAATAAAACACACAAATGCCTGAAGTTGCAGTGATATGTATCCGGCTTCATCGTGTCTGTTTGAGTAATACAATTAAAACTTGATATAACTCGACTCAAATCTTCCCCCAATGCTTTCCCTCTGAAGCGTGGGCTACTTTGATGAATACCTGCAGATGAGGTAGGCGGTGTTTTTGAGATGTTTTTTTTTGCTGTGACTGAGAAAGCTGCCTATGTACAGCTCCACTTCTATTGTTCATCGGTGCTTTGGGGATAAGTCTGTTTTGCGTTTTCCTCCTCACAGGGTGTCGTCCATCGAGAACGACTCGCGGTACAAGAAATCCTGGGGCATAAACGACGGAGAGGGGGAGAGTAACGGCTCAGGGGTGGTGTCCCGACAACCCTCTGGCGTCCACAACGGCAAGGCAGGACAGGTCAACGCACCCCCACCCTCAGGGCCCTACATCAAGAGGTACGATACAAGAGCCACTTTATTCAGTCGCACAAACCATCTCTCCGGTTTTAAGATGAGATACAAGGTCACTGCATGTCTCCAGAAGATAAGACGTGTTCTTCTGGGGTGGGGTTAGAGGACGCTATCGGTTGCAAACAAAAATTGACTTAAAGAGAAAAGTATACTAGAATCAGAACATAAGATTATTAGGGGGAAAAACCTGTTAATTTTGCACACTGCTAAGCCTTGTGAGTCACTGTATGGACGCTTCGGGCTGAGAGCTGATTGGCTGATCTTAAAAAGTTAATCTAAAGATGTGACTGAGGCCAAAACAACAAGCATGTGAAAGCTGCTGAGGGAACTGTTTTAGAGAGGAACTGGTTTTTATCTTGATTCCAGTAAATGATTGACGTAAAGCAAGATTTTCTGTTATTATTTCAAGGAAGGTGGCAACTTCTTTCTCCAAGAGAAAATGTGTTCATCGCTTAAAAAAACATTTTTGCTCGTCCCATTGACAGATCTTGTTATGTGGAAAAACAACCAACACATTTGACATTTTATTGCTTTTTGGGATATAGATCCATTTGTGTGGACCATTTGTTTGAAAAGTCCAGCTTTAAATGTGTCAAATGCGCATACTACTCTCCAGTCACCATTTTGTCTTGTATTTCTACATGACCCAGGCTGCACTTCCCTCTACATACAGGTGTTGTGGTGATACAATAATCTCTGTGTCATTCCTTGGTCATAACGCGTGTGTGTGTTGTGTGTGTGGTTCTCAGGATAACAAACGACGCTCGTGAGGATGAGATGGAGGAGAACCTGGACGCAGTCGGCGGCATCATCGGAAACCTGAAGAACATGGCTGTGGACATGGGCAACGAGATAGACAAGCAGAACAAACAGATCGATCGCATTGGGGGAAAGGTAAGAGCTGCGACGAATGCCCTTCTCTCTGCTCAGAGACCACCGGCAGCAGAATCCTGTGCTCTCTCTTTATATTTACTTTGTGATTCCGGAGGGCACCGCTTTCTGGCGCAACACTGAGGCAAGATCAAATGATGCTTTGAATTTGACTTCATTGTAAGACATAAGAAAGCATAACTGCGCTTTAAAATATCCGACCGCCCCCCCTTCATGTTTACATTAGCAACCAGAAAGGAGGCTCTGATTTTAGAATGGAGGAGGTCCTGGGCGTGTTGGCTGCTTCAAAGGACAAGGCAGGGTCCATTTAGCTCAATATCTTTTTCCATGGTTCAAATTCCAATGACTAGTTTTCTTATTGACTAGATCTACTTGTAATGATGTGCATTTAAAAACCTGTGCTTGTCATTGACTAATACAAAATTATCTCAATCATAAATCGCCATCTCTGCTGCTGTGACCTTATTATACAATTGTTAGCTACTTCTAGAATGATGTATCTATTTGTTTTGTTTGTTTGTATGGATGGATGTGTTTCTGCTGCTGCTGGACACTTGAATTTCTCCTACAGGGATCAATAAAATATATCTATCTAAATTATACAACTCTGTTTTGAGCACTCGGTCAAAATGTATATTTTTCAAAAACAATGTACGACACGTGAACGAAATAGGAACTTTTAAAAGGTCAGACTAGTGGGAACAAAGAAAAAAACAATCTCAGTGACCTTCAATAAAAGGCGGTTATTGTAGGGACAAGCTACACCGGTCTTCATCAGTGCATGAGGCCAAATGGACATTATATTTGTTGCTACTAATTCTTTTTTTGGCAACAGTCTAAGATCGTCCATGGCTCATTATTCAGCATTTTCTGTCTGTGCTTCCATTTCAGGCGGAAATGACCAAAGTGCGCATCGACGAGGCAGACAAGCGAGCCCACAAACTCATGCAGTAGTGACCAGAGCTCCACCCCGGGTCAGTCCTTAGTCCCCACCCCACACCTCACCTCGCCTCGCCTCACCTCGCCACGGCACATACCATCAACACGCTGTCGTCATAAACAATTCAGGAAGAACGTCTACGGCAGCAGTATCTTTATCCATTAACTGCACTATGATGTAAATATAATGCTTCTATTTTCTGAATGGGATCGTTCGCAGAGATGCAGCCGCACACATACACGTACCTTTGATTAAATAAACAAAAAACATGCTGGACTTTGAGAGCAGCGCAGGCTTAAAGCGGCGCCAAAGAGGGAGTGCCTTTGAACGCCTCACTGCTGTCACCAAATACAAACCAGGTCTATATTGTATCATGTCTGTACTTTTCACTCACTGCCTCGTAAAGTAACTGCTCTTCGTTTTTGGATTCTCAGAAAACGGCCTTAATTCCCATTGGTCTTTGCGTGATTAGATGCATTGTGTATTTTTTTTTGCTCATTAAATTATTCCTAATCAAGCGGAAATGACTTGTGAATAAAGTGATGTTTTCTAAGGCTTTTTTCCCTTGTCATTTTTGCCATTTCAGATGTCAATTTCAAAAAAATGTGTGTGTGCTTTGTGACTATGATGTGTACGCTGCCCAAACATGACCCTCCGACCACCTTTCTAATATTCTATTCTCTAAAGACTTACTGCAATTACAACTTTTGCACAGTTTAACAGTTATACCCATTAGGACTCATTGAATCCAGTAGTAACCAATAACAATATCAATATCATAACAAAAATCATGTGTTTGTAAAGCTAACATACAGTCGAGACATACACAACGCTTTGATGAAAGTCGTCTGTAAACATTGCAATTAGGAAACTGCTTCGTAAATGGCCTCCTGATCGCAATTGTTAGTGCTTCATAAAACCTTATCGTCTCCATGGAGAAATCATTGCTTTGTCTAGAATGTTCTGCAGTTATTAAACCAGCTCGGTTGTAATTGGAATGGAGACGGGTTGCATAAAAACAATAAAAACAAAGTGATTTAGAATTCTAGATAAATTAGCTACGGCTCGTTTTGACACTTGCTCTTTGTTGGAAAGGTGGTCGTAATGTTTTGCTTGTTCGGTGTGTTTTAAGTCTATACTTTCTAATGCTGGAATTCAAAGCACTATCCCTCAGTAGCAATTGAGCTGAATTGTTGTTTTAATGTAAGTGTGCATATTGGGAGAATATTTTCAATGTTGTCTTGAGATGGTCTCTTGTTGAAATTGGTGTAAACGGCTCATGATGCAATAGAATTTGGAGAAATATTTTTTTTTTTTAGTTTTGACATTATTATTTATGTCCCTGTTTTGACTGGATGAATGAATACTCAAACATATCCGTACCCCGCAATCATTTTGTTAATCTAATATATTCTCAGTTTCCGTGCTGTTAATAGAGATTTATTGCAGGACCCAGGAGGAGATTAACAGACTATGCCAGTTTCTCCTACACAAGTCTGGGAGCACATGAAAAATTAATTTCCCCGAGTTTATAATTGCGATTTGTGAAAGTGCACGAAAACAAATTTGCCAGTTAAGACCCACGTTCTCTCCACCAGAAAATGTTTGATCATTTTCATCACATGCTCCGACTCAGAGCACTGTGAGAACGTGGTTTCAAAATGTTATGAAGACAATTCTAACTTAATTTAGTTCAAAACTTTGGTGTCATTTTTTATTACATTAAATGATTTTATTTTCACCTGGTCTGCACTGCACAATATTAAGATATGGTGCTCAGAAAAACACAGTATAATTATGACTGTTTAGGACTAGTTTGGGCTTTGTGTTTTTCTGACAGGGTTTTAGAATTCTCAAAACTAAATTTAGGATTTAAATGTTACACGCTTGTTAAGGAGGTGTGTGCCTAAAGATACAGGAAGAGGCAATGCCCAAAACGTCTGCCACAATTATTGGTGAATGTGCAGCGCTATTAAAGGTGGGATACCTAATTTTCAAACCCCCTCCTGAAAAAAATCTGTAATAAAATCTACTTTTAACAACCTGTTACTCCTTGCTCTCAAAACAGTTTAGTTCTTTGACTAGTTCTCATCTTAATGTACTTATTTTGCCTCCTGTCACTTGAGATCAGACAAAAAAGGGAGAAACAGAGAATCACCATCAGCTCTCAGCCCAATGTGTCAAATAGTGACTCACAGGGCTCTTTCTTCCAAGTATGCAATGATAACAGGTTTTCTAATTAGATGACAACGGCATCATTTGGTCTGATTTGTTCACACGAATCTTTACAAACCACACGTGCTGTTAATGAAACATCTTTTAGGTACCCCAGCTTTAACAAACAAAAATGATCTCACATTGTTCTGGTCTTTCCCCTTTGTTCTAAATGGTTGTGTTGTAACAGCCCCAGACTCACCAAAAGTGCCTCCAGTGCTGCACAGTCAAAATGGTAATATCTGATGATGGAAAAGTGCAATTTGTTTTGTTGAAGCTGTAGCCGAGCTGAGAGGATTATGTCTGGCAGCGAGAAGTATACATGCAAATGAATGTTTAGTGCAAATGTAAAAAACCTAACTCCTGGCGGGCTCTATAATTTGCAACCTTGCTGTGGAAAATTGGCTAATGATAAAGTGATATAGTATGGTGGAAAAAGGAAAGATTTGTATCCATCTTATTTGTTTTTGATTAAAATGTTCATTTGTATGCTGTAGCTTCAGGCTTTACATGCATTGAGTTTGTAAAGATGATACAAGCCAAGGTTTTGTATGGAAGATTGTGTAGCCTGTTGTGCTCGAGGCTGTTTTTGCTGCATTGTTATCAACTGCCACTGGATATATTCAGTAACTGCCTGTTGCAGATCATCCCATGTGTAAAAGTAGTTAATGGAGAAACAAAGAGGAATGGCATTTGGGTCACATCCATCTGTAATATTGTTCATATCAATAAAGCTATTTTCAAATGTGTTATTTATTGTTGTCTATTTTAATCGTAGCAACGAGAAATCAGTTGGTGGTGTCAGAAATATGAGCATTTTATTCGCATTTGAGGCTCAGCTCACATTTCTGATCTGGGATTGTGATTTAAAAAAACAAAAGATTAAAAACTATCATAAAGATGATTATTTGGAAATATGCTCCTTCCATTAGTTTCCAAGAGAAAGTCTATAGACCTGTTTTAGAAATCAAGTTGGCTATGTATAGCTAATAACATTAAGAATGAAATTAAATAGGGTGTGATGTGCCTATGATTAATCATTGATGCGCCATATATGTACACTGTATATTGTCAAATGTCAGCATACACAAACAAACTGGACAACTTTCCAATGGTTCTGAGCTTTACGCCGAGGTATAGCACGAGTATAGGTGGAGCTCGAATCGAATGTCTGTAATATGCACTCCTGCTGGTTTGGGAAACAGCTATTACAGTACGTAATGGCTGTTACTCAGACTGAGATAAAGTAGCATATAGGCTTTGGATCCAGGACAAAATCACAAACATATCAAATTAATGATCAATGTGTCGGTAAATACTCTATTGCAGTTCCAAATATCTAACTGTAAATCTATCGACAAACTCTCCAAATGTCCACTGACGTATAAATCAAGAGGCATGACCACAAATGATAATTTATTTTAAACTTTATTCTCTCAAAAAGGTATTTAAACCTGTCAACATTTCTGGATATTTTACACAGCTATTCGAGAGTACAAAATGCAGATTAAAAACCACTGAACAGAAAAGGCAGGTGTGGTGCGGTGGAGGATCGTGATTGGTTAAAACAACATAAATATTAAACCATTCAAATGTGAAATTTTATGGCTTTGTTTACCTACATTTGGCTTATTCCTTTTGCAATGTCTTGAAGTAATGATTCCAATCCCATTTAAAAATTGTTTTGAACCTGGCATCAGATTATAGGGGCAAAGTTTGAGGCAAGTAGGCAGTGGGGAGTTGGCCCCGGTTAAGTAGTAATAAACATGTATATATGTGCAGTTTCTGAATATATATTTGAGGGTAACGGTGAGACCAAATGTTTCTCTCTGCTTTACATTTATGGAAACGTAATGTGCCTTTCTCCACTCCCTCTCCATGCTGTTCTTTTCTGATGCTCCTGTTGGGAAATGCAAAACCTGGTCCCAGAGTCTGACTGGTGAAAACTGCGTCTTTCCTAATTGATTTTGAAATGTCTCAATAGCACCATGACAAACCAAACATAATAATACACATGCATCTGTAGATAATAATGCATACATGAAGAATAAATATGAAATTTAGAGTTCAATACATGAGTGTGGAGTATATATTCAAGTGACTAAAAATACTTCCTCATATGCGAGTCCTTCATATGAGTGACAGTCTGCGGTGCATAGACTATATCCCTGGAGTTACACTGTCCTGCACGCGGCTCCTCGGCTCCAAACGTTGCATTTAGAAAGCTTCACTCAGACTCTGCTCTCAGCGCTCCAAATCCAGAACAGTATTACAGTTCACAACCATTTATAAGGCAGATCAATATAAAAAGTACACTCAGGTACACACTTGTATGGCCAAACATCCAAAACTGAAGCTAAATCTGCAGCTAAAGTAACAATAGAACAATCTTTGGTTGAGTGAAAAGCGCTTTTCTGTGCTTTCATTTATTGTCAAAATTCTTTAAAGAACAAAAATGTGGACCTCAAAAATGAAATGCTGCTTACATACAAGCAAATAGTGGCACAAACCTAAACTACAATAATTATATTGTTTCTTGAAAAATAAAAACAAATCTCATTTAAAAGCTTTCTCTGACGGCTTGTACACAAAACTACTTCCTAGTTTGGGGTTGCTTGGGTAACCCTGTTGGCTCCTCCCCCTCACTTTTTCTTTGCAAAGCGGCTAAACTTCTTCTCCTTGTCCTTCTTGGCAGAGCTGGGCTCTGGAGTGGAGCTGGACACAGGGGGCAGGGTCTGGCTCTTGGCCCCAGAGGAGCCCTCCTCTGCTGGGGGCTCCATGGCCTTGTCCGTAGCCCCCTCTATAGCCTCCTCCATGGCTTGGCTCCAGCGCTGCAGCTCCTCCTGAAACACATCACAATGTGGAGAGTCCAAGGACATGGCGCTGCCTGCTGGGGCCACAGCCAAATTTACAAGAACATTGCTTCAGAGATGACATTTAAAAAAAAAAACGTGACTAAACCAAGGGTAGACACATGCTAATGTACATTATAGAGACAGTTTTATACTAGGTGTCTCAAACTGGGGGTACATCTCCACCTGCAGCTTTGTTAGATGATGCATGAATAACACGGACACACTTACTTCATCTTTGCACTGGAACAGATACTCGCTGCCGTCTGTCAGGCTGTGGGAGACAAGGACAGAGGCTTTTGAAGTCAGTCCTCACTAACAAAGCTGCCTGATACACGTCCTTGTCTGGCTGGAGTTTGTTCTGGAGTCTTACCGGAGTTTGGCTACGTGCTTCTTCTTCTTGTAGTTACTGAGGATTTCCCAGACGGCGCCGGAGAGCGTGAGCGGCTCCTCTCCGTGGAACGTCAGGCCCTGACTGAGGCTCTTGGCGTCTTTATAGACACTGAGTTGGCCTGGCCTTAGCACACAGTACAGGCTGTTCCAAGACCTGGAGGAGCACAAAGATTTCATGTGGGCAATTAGGCACTTTCTGCTCAACCTTCTCTCCAATAAAAACAAATCATAATCAACATCTTTTGTCACACTGAGCAACAGTCTCGTGAAGGTGTTCCTGAGTTTATTATTAATTCCAGGAAAACACACCTTTTTGCAGACTGTTGAGTGGCTTAAACAAAAGGTACTCAATTGGCAACTCAAATAAATCTGCAATTACTTCAATCTAAAAATCTGTTCTAAAAATAGGCAGGGAAAAAAGTATGAAAAACCTCCCCAAACTTTTATTGCTACTGAATGAAGCAGAAATGTTGTATCTTTTAGTTACTACAATATTTTAACTCAAAATACATGGAACAGTAATATATAAACAAGACAACAGACCGTTGTGTGGACATTTCAGGGTTGCCACACACAGTTTAAAAACAGGAGGCATTTTGGAAGCGCTTACACATTTGATAATTAGTTTTTGAAACATAACACCTCACACTCAGCTAATGAAGAATACCATCATATCAAACTCATGAAAATGTCAGAATCAAACATTCTGAGATGAATTTGGACCAGTTTGAACTCAAATACAAAATAGTCCCAAAAATGGCAATGGGGATTTTGCATGGATTCCGCCTGGAGCATTTTGTTTTCTTACAGGCCCATAAATCACATTTCCAGTGACATTTGCCTCAGCAGTGAGAGGGGAGCTGTTAAAAGTCCAAATGTGGTCATTCTGCAGTCAAGTAGATCCTATCCCCAGACACCAGCAATAAACTCTTTTATATTTACCATGATAATGTAGATGAACTTTGGAGTTTGATCTTTCTCTGTTCAGGAGTCACAAAAACTACAGAGCCTCAGTTTCACAAAAAGCCCAGCCATTTGTTTGTTCCCCAAAGGATTGTCAAATAGATTTCATTATAGATGTATAGATGGATACTTAACCAGGAAAGCTCAATGACTAAGGAACTATTGTACAATGATTTAGTGGTAGGGGAACCGGGGCACATGGAGGAAACCTACGTAACCACGGGAAGAACATGCAAACTCCACACAGAAAGGTCTGGAGGTAAAATCCAAACCTTGAACGAAAATACCTTCTGTTGCATTCTGGTTCTGTAAAGTGTACACTATTCCACCTCCCTTTGAGAGTAAGACTAATTTAACACTAGGACTCCCAGAGCCGTCATTTTGACTGCTTCCATTCAAACAGATGGAATTCTGAAATTTTAGCAAGTTTACCATCAGTTTTATTCAAATTGACCTTTGCTCGCTGTTAATTAATGCAAAAACTGCTGGAAAGGATCTCTTAATCTTAATCTTAAATACAGAGAAACGAAACAGCTTGTTGAAAGGCTAGTGCCAACTGGAAGCAGTCTGTTGCTATGGTTACTAGTACTTCCTCTTCTCTTATCTGTACTCTATCAACAAAAATCAAAAGATAATTTTGTGAAAATAATAAAATAGGAATAAACTATATAAAGAAACAGAAAAAACCAGAAAAGGTTTAAACATGCTAAAAGTAATTTTATAAATAATAATAATTCCATGCAGCCAAAGTGAAAGAGTGAAATTCTGCTGATACCTGTTGGAGGCCTTCTTGCCGGAGCCCACCACATCGTGCTTGCGTCCCAGCAGCCCCTCCTGCAGCACGGCCTGGCTCCTCAGGGCAACCGGGGGTAAGGTGGAGGCTCGCTCTGGTCCTTTCGGACTGGACACAGACACAGAGGGCTCCAGCTCCAGGGACCGGCTCTCCTTCATCTCAGAGTCTATGGGGACGGTCGAGGCCCCCGCGGTGCTGTCCAACTGACTGGTGCTGGGGGCCACTGCCGCGGACCCAAACTGAGGCCAAACACAACAGAAGTAAAGTCAATGTGGTTTCTGTTTTATTTAGAGTTTGATCTGTGTTGGAGAAATCAAACGGTTGTGTTTAGTCCTCCAAGATAACTCCTGATTTAGGGCGATACAAGAATACATTTAATTGAACTGAATTGAATGTGTTTGGAGGGAAACTAGGGAAAACAAAAGAGACTCCTTTACACATGTATCTGGGAATTGGAGGATTTTTGTTCAAAAATTATTATTTATACTGTTATATTTTTATTTGCTTTGTGGCATGTCTGTTGCTCATTTATTGTTGCTCTGTTGTCACAATTATGAATCTTCAATTCAATTATGAATTAGTCACCTAGTCAGCAATTAATCATGATTATGACTTCTTGACAGATGTTTCTTTGCCTCTCTTAATTTGCCTTTATAAATGGAATCAACAATTGATAACATAGGAAAAATATTGTTCTCATGTATTTTTTATCTATTTCCATTTGACATTGGTTTACAATTAATGTTTTTAAATATATGGATGTATTTGTCAAAAGCTACTTTAGGAGGTATGTACTGTATATATTCGATACAGAAGTTAACGATCATACATTTGTTAACTTCGTTCTATAAATCTATATCCAGGGGTGTCAAACCGGTCCTAACGGTTTTCATTCCAACCAAGCTGGAATCCATTTCTAACCTGAAGCCTCTGGGAAATAGAGGGAGTATAGTGTGCTCCTGTTTATTTGGAACTAAAACTTGGAACCAGTTTGGCACGATTATCTAAATGCAGGTCATTAGCAGGAATGAAGTTCTTTGCACAATAAAGTTAAGTGCACTTCAGCTCAAAGTGAGGTAGATTAATTGGAGGATAAATGGAGAGTGAACGCAACAGGAGCGTGGGGATGTGCTTAAACTAATAAGACAATTATTGAACAAATGACGCGAATGTAAATGAGAAGCAGAGGGTGAAGAGTGAGGACTGACCATGGTCTGCTCCTCCACAGTGAACATCTGAGAAGACTCCTCCACAAAACCAGTGTCCTCTTTCCTACAGGGACAAAGCACACGGGCGTGAACCACAGTGGGATCAACATCGAGAGAGAAGAACAGAAATATAGAAGCACGTTTGATAATGTGTGATTTGAAAGTGAGATTGACTATTGTGGAAATAAAATGTTGTGAACCGTTTAGAACACAAGTTAGCAGAATGAGTGGTTCACTTTTCGGGCCTGAAAAAAGCTGATCAAAAGATGTGTATGTGAAAACGAGACGGTTATGATTAATTCCTTTGTTATGGTTTCAAAGTTACCTGTACACTCTGCAAGAAATATAAGGTAATATTCACAGTGATGAAACTACTGTACATGCTATTAAGTAAGTAAGTAATGTTTATTTATATAGTGCATTTTACAGAACAAGGTCACCCAAAGCGTTTTACAATGTTCAGAGTTTGTTTCATTCTCTCCACACACGGTGATGACGGAAGCGAGACGCCGAACACACTGGAGCATCAAAGCCCCCAACCAACACCATCCATTCACTCACTCGTTACATTCAGACTTATTGTGCATGTTTTTAGTGGTAGGGGAAACCTATGCAGACACAGGGAGAACATGCAAACTCCACACAGTAAGACCTGGAGGTGGAATCGAACCCAGGACCTTTTTTGCTTGGCCTCCATGCCGCCACAAAAAGTGACTACATAAAGTTGCGTTCAGACATCTTTCTTTGTTCAGACTCACCCCTAAAGCGAGTGCCTACTATTGGTTAAAAAGGAGATGATTGCAAAACGGCCCATCGGTCATGCGTTGGGTCAGAGCCAGGTCTCGTCAGCTCGGGCCCCTGTAATTGTGCTGTAATCCTGCTTGTGTTTGGGGGCCGCCCTGTGCACTCGCTGTACCTGCTGTCTGGCTCCGACCGCAGCTCGTCTTTAATGAACTGCTCCATCTCCTGCTGCTCCCTCCTCAGGCTCAGCAACTCCAACTGCAACACACACCACCGCAACGCAAATCAATATCCAATCCATTACGGCTACGATTCACTGCCACGTCCACGCAGCCCGCGGTCCTGCCTCAACATTTGGCGAGCAAAAGACAAAAGCGCTCGGTTTCTGTAATTAAAACTCAGCTGTCCAATTCTGCCCCGATGCCGAATTCAGTTAGTCCGGAGCTGGCACCTTCAAATGTTTATCTTTGAGGGCCAGCGATGGAAATACATACAAACCTGCCAGAGGTATTAATGTAAGTGTTGTTTATCTACTGCTAATCATCAAATGGATCTTTGATTAGACAGAAGCAAATTATTCTGCCACAATTATGCTCAATACTCGCTTTGGAACGTAATGTTTTCAAAGTCCTGTTTGTCTGGTTTTTGTTTTGTCTATTTTAATTTGAAGTAATGAAACATATCATTGAAAAATATATATATATTTTAAATTGACTTCAGGATATTGATTTGAGTTTAGTTTGAGTTTAGTTTATCACCAAATGCTGTACAGTACAGCCTGTACTTTATTCAAGATGTTTCAGTTAAAAACATGTAGTTATGTTTGCAAATTATAAAGCTAAATGTGGCTCCAATTTTGCACCAATTTCTCACCAATTTTGTAAAAGTTGAAACATTTTGAAAAGCCTTCTTTCAAAGTTCAGTTTTGGTACAAACAAAAAATATTTTCTGTGATGGTGTGTTCAGGGAGCAGGATTCCAGCTGAATAAAGATGCCCAATAATCAGTTTTTCTATCAAACCTTTTTGAATAAATGTAACACAATGTTGGTGTCTTCTGAAGGACGGCAAAGGCCGACCTTCGTTTTTGCAAAAGCCACAGAGAAAACAACGGGAGAATAAAAACGTGTATCAAATGCCCGACGCTTTCACTCAGACTAATGGCTTCTAATCAGAAACATTTCTGTCGAGCTTAGAACCAAAAACAAATCTATCTTTGTCAAATCCTAACTGGAATAACCTGAAGTCATGGAAAGAGTGAATCGATCTATTTACATTTATGAACATCCCGCTCCCCTTTGGACCAATGGCTCATGTGTGTTCTAATTGTTTGTTTCTCTAATCTGTCATTGGCCAATTGATAATTTGTTTATTGCTTATTTTATTATTATTATTCATTATTGTTGACATTTCCTGTGTTTTTGTATATGTTATTTTATGCCTATATGCTGCCCCTGGTGGTGATACATAAAGTTGTCTAAATCTGCATCTGAATCTTGTCAATTTTGAGGCTATAAAAAGCAAAACAAATAAAAATTAACTTGACATGAGTAAAACACTGTGTATTTATTTTCCCAGGTCTTGTCAGCGTCTTCATTGGACACTTTCAAACCTGGTCTAAAAACACATTTGTCATTTCTACGCCTTTTACATGTATTTGTGTGTATTTCATGCTGCTTTGTCTTTTTTGTCTATACAATTAAAGCTGACATCGACATGGACATGATTTTGGGAGTGTGTACCGTGGTCAGTCTCTCCAGAGCAGAGAAGCGCTCCTCCCATGTGGCCGTGGACTTCTCAAAAGCCTCGTGTCTCTTGATGAGCTTCTCCACCTCGTCCACCGTGTGTCCCAGGTCCCGGCTGGACACGTAGGGCTCCTGTGCCACCAGCCACGCCTCCGCCACCGAGGCGTCCCGAGCAAACTGACACACCTCCAGGACTGAGACAAAACAGGGACATAGTCGTTTTCAAAGTGAAGCACTATTAGTTACTGTACATTTGGATTTTGAGAGGGCTGTCAGATGTGTAAGCGATTTATAGACACCTGAGCCTTGACGTTATACATTTTGATGACTTTTATCTAGATTTTATCAAAAATGTATCCTAATTTCTGATTCAAAAATATATCTTATTATTACAATTAGATTAAAGTCAGAATATTTTCACTTTAAACTCAAAATATTCTGAGAATAAACTTGAAATATTATGATTAATCTCACTTAACTACCTGAGGATCCTCGCTCTCAAAACACTTTGGTTCTATCACTTGGTTTCACACCTTCAGATCAGTTACTTCAGCCAATCAGCTCTCAGCACACAGAGTCATATAGTGTCTCAGAGGGCTCTTTCTTACAAGTATACAAAAGATGGTTTTATGAACAGATGAAGTTTGTATGATTTGTTCACACCTTCTCACATGTGACATGTATTATTTAAGAAACAAAAACAGGTGTCCAGCTTTACGTCTGATGAATGTATTTAACAGTATAAATCAATTACCTTCATACGGATTCAAGTCTCTGGACATTTTGCTTTGGCAGACTTTGAAAATTCACTTTGATCGTGAGCTTTACGTGCCGCTTTTGTTGGTAATGGTAACAGTCCAATAGTTGTACGCTTTGCCTCCTTGTACAATAGATGCTATGCACAGTTGCACTCTAAAGTTTGGACATTTCTTGCTTTTCATCACATTGTGCCGAGGCATTTCTCTCTAACTGCAGCCTTCACGCTTAAGCCGTACGTTTTGTGAGGTTTTTGTAGGTCAAAGTTGCTGCTCTACTCACGCAGTCGGAGCCAGTCCCATCTGTCGTCCCATTTGAACATCAGCTCCTTCCGCTTCTCCATGAGCTGCACCAGCTTCTCTTTGATCTGACATAAGCAATGAAGGCAGCTGGGGTTACGTATCTGTTTTATTAAGCAGCCCCAAAACCCCCAAGACTCCTCACCATTACGCTTTAAGAACTTGCATTGTGCAGTGATTAACCCAGCACCGCATTCAGGCCCAGGTCAATTGCTCATTTAACATTCTCTCACCTCCTCCAGTTGTAATTAGTGTAGCTTTATAGCCTCCCATGTGAATTTTAGGATTTTTTTTTCTTCCTTGTTAAGATGCCCACTTGGTTCCCAGACTACAACAACCGTGGCCAGAAATGTAATTAATTTTAGTGAAATCAGAGATTTCGAAGGATGAAAAAGAGAGTGCTGCTACACCAGAGGTTGTCAAAGGATGGTACAGGTCGCCCCTAGCAACGGCAATTAATACAATTTTTATTAAGATTGAAATGTCTTGTCTGATTGTCAATGATTTGCCTGGGTCTTTTAAATAGAGAGGTCTTCGGCCAATCTGCTGTCAGTAGAGTCCTAATTGGCCCTTTTCCAGGTTAAAATCCAATTAAAAGTCAATGGAAAATATTCATGAGCTCAATGCAGCAAACATTTAAAATCATTGTTGTTAATAAGAACTTTGTGTTACTGTTATTTCAAGATTAATCAGGGAGTCCCATTGAGAATTGCTTTTCATTATCAGGAGTACGAAACACAGATTATAAAGCAGAGAACATTTATGATTCTATACAGGGCCCTGAGGACAGAGCCGAAAGTTTGTTCCCCAATCCATAGTTACCTCATGCTGTAAATTGAAATGAAAGCAACGATGTAATTATTATTATTATAATGGTAATGTGGTTTTGTATTGTATTTGATTGGTTCATTTGTAAAAAGGGATAAGTGCCATTATAAAAACACTTGAAATAAAGTTTCACCCTTTTTTTCAAATGTGTTGCCCATAACAAAGCATGTTGAAGATTGTCGCTTTTTGACAAATATTACAAACAGAGATATCAGCTTTTGCAAATAAACTACACAAAAACAAAACGAATTTTTTTCTAAACTAAAGGGTTTAAACACCCATTTCACATTCATTTTAATTCGATTTGCTGTTGTATTATTACCCATCGCAAATATGGATCTAGTAATGTATTTTGTGAAGCTTCCAACACATGCAGGTGCAGGACGCTCCAATATAAAAGTGTAACTTGGATGTGGTGTGCAGCTGGTGTGAGATTGCGGAGGAACATCCCACCTCTGCAGAGTGGCGGTGGTTTCTTGCCAACAGAGATTTGCCCAGATCTGTGCAGTCTGTGAGTTTGGCTCCACGCGCCTCGATCTCAGAGCGGATGCCCTGGTGGTACTTCTGCAGCAGCTCCACAGAGGAGACGTCCCTGAGGAGAGGGAGAGGAGAGGGAGAGGAGGCTCAGGCCTGATACGCATCTACCCCTGTTGGTGAAGACTGGAACTGCAGTCCTGCTCGCTGAAATAAGGACTGATCGCATTAGGGGACCGTGAAATCAATGACTATGTATGTCTATATGTTTGTATATTTTGGTTAGTGTGACCTCTGCACAAGGACAGGCGAGGGAACTGATGATTGAATGCTTCTGTCCCTTGTATGATTGCCTTGTACGGTTTCTTGTTTTGATTTGTAAAGCACTTTGAGTTGCTGTCAGGGCTGTGTTTGTGTGTGCTTGTTTTGCGCAAGCACTGTAATTTTCCATTCAAATAGAAAATGCCACAGTAATCTCTTCAGCAGATGTCATGGTAGTAATGTAAAGTAATGTTAAAATGCGGTATAGACCAAAGTGCGGTACCTGGGTTTCTCCTGGGTCTCGATCTGCTGGATGATGCTCTCCATCCAGGCCAGGAGGTCGCGCACCATAGTGAAGAACTTGAACTTGTCTGCGGTGTCCACGAGCTGGGCCCGGCGCTCATCACTGGCCTCCAGCAGACTCTTCCAGGCCTGCAGCACGTCCCGCTCAGAGGCCTGGATGGCGGTCGCCTGTTCCCCCGCGTACTGCGCATGGAGGCGGGCTGCGGTCTCTTGATACTGCTGCACCTGGAGCCAAGGAAGAGGTGCTGTTGTTAAAGTAGCATTGCTCTGGTTTAGAGTTAGAAGCAGGAAAAAACATGTTGTCATCGTTGGAAGAAAGAAGTAATTGAGTAAACTAGGTACATAACGTTAAAACCAAAATAAATCTAACTAGTTTTCCTCACTCTGAAAACTGTTTGGTTCTGTCACAAATTTTCATAGGTATGAATTCTTTTGATCAACTTTTAAAGTAGCAAAGTGAAAAAGAAAGGACCTCGCTCACTCAGTCAATCAGCTCTCAGCCTAGTGTCAAATAGTGACTCACAGGGCTCTTTCTTACAATTATGGAAACATCATTTTTGAATAAGATGAAGACTTTCATAAGATTCTTTCTGTTGGGACAAAATTTGTATTATTTATTTGACTTAAAGATATGGGAAAATTGGATAAAAAACATAACTGTTACACAATTCAATAGCTGATACAAACATCAATATATTATTATATCCATCTACAAAAGTTAGTTTCTTAATCTTTTTTGAAAACTCTTTCATTTTAGCGAACGAAAAGGGTGAGGCTGAAGTTTGTCAATTATTTTGCCTAACCCCAAAAGTCAACCACTACAACACAACTATTCTCTATCTCTTTTCTATCTACCTCATCTTTAAGAAACAACTTTTAATCCATTGTAAGCCTTAATAGAAACTTTTTAAACTTGTTGTCCTTTCTGTCCTTGGGAAGTGGAGTCAGATAAAGACACAAGACTTCCTCATAATGGGCCTAATCCTCCCCCTCAGGAGAGTGTGTGATGGCCCAAAACAGCGTAGGCCCATTCTCATCAGTATTTGCCTGTGGCCTGGTCCTGTTGTGAGGAGTCTGGATTTGTACCTGTTTGCCCAGAGCTGTGATGTCTCTCTCAAAGGCGCCGTGCACTCTGTGGAACGACTCGGCTTTACTGAAGTCATCCCCCACGTCTTCCGGCAGTTCGGTCTGCTTCTCATAGATCTGCGCCACCAACTCTTTGCCGTCATCGAAATATCTTCAAAACAGAAAATGTAAGTTTGCTTTGGCTGGAGCTGCAATTTCCTCAACAAAGCACTGTCTGGGTAGTATAGTTTGTTGGTCAAAATGTACTCAAATTATACTTAATGTGGGTGAATCGCATAAAATACAACATCTCCTGGGAGATTTATTCAATGCTGATCAAATCCAATCTATACAGTGGCAGCAAAGGTGTTTTCTATGTTTTTATGGTGAAATAAAAGCAATTAAACAGTTTAGGGTTTAATCAAAATGTTGACAATATTTTAACTTTTCCTGCAAATTAATATCTCAGCTCTATATATTGGTAATTGGCCTCCTTGACTACTACTAACTACTTATTACCTTAAAAAACTTTCTGGACAACCTTGTAGTACAGTAACACGTTTCAGTAATTTAAACAAGTTCAATTCAAACCAGTGAAACCTGATGAGTTATTTCTATAATTTATTAATTCATTATAGTCATTCATTAGTACGTGTTTTGGTGACATTTTGTATATGGTAGATGGATAGCTCGACACGGATTAGATTTAATAGAATAATTTACATCGGTGTGACAGAGGCAGCAACCATCACTCCAATGTTCAAATTGGTACAAAGTATAAGGTCATCATGTCAAAGGGATAATTCATGAACAGAAAACCCCACATGAAAAAGATACAATGCAGCTGTGCTAAATCAGCTAAAACAATAGAACCGTAATTGTGTAATTTGTTATAATACTCAACACATTGTCCAGCCGTATCTTTAGTCTATTTTATATATGGCCAGCTCAATTACCTTACATTCAGTGCATTTGGAAAACAGATTTTTAACCAAGTCACGGTTTGCACTTTTCGTTAGAGTTGACTGAGTAGAATGGATTGATGAAGCGCTGCCTCAACATTATTAAAGTCCCTGTTTGTTTGAGAACCACCATCAGAACTATTTCCCGTTGGGATTTCAAACTGGCTGATTGTATTGACCAAGATAATTGTCTCACGGGGACAAGACTTTTCCATTATTTTTGCCAATACAGACTTGCCTGTTGTAAGTTGATTCCCCTGTGCAAACTTGGTATTCGGTACATGTCAGGATGAATAAAGTTTAAAATGGAGAGTGATTCTTGTCACAAAAAGATAGAACACTGTTTGCAAATGAGAATATGCCAAATTGTCTCTTACATTATAGGAAAAAAGTAAACTCTAACCCAAGTAAAAAAAAGTGTAAATGACTTGGTTGTCAGAAAAATAATTAATAATGTATTGATAACAGGAAAAATACCAAAGAACAGTACTTAACCCTTAAAAGTGCTTTTCATTGCTTGAAAAAAGCAATGTAATTTTTTGGGGGGGATTTTCTAAGATGAACACTAATAACACAAATAATGTTTTTTTAACCCCTTTTTTTTTATTATACATGTCTACCAAATGGGTGAAACCCAAGTGACAGAGATGCCCCAATGAGGTAGATTTCAGTTTCAAGCTTTAAGTAGATATGCTGACTCAAAAAGGGTCACTATAAGGTACTAAAGCATTAAGTAAGAAATACTTAGTTACTTGTCATCTCTGACCACCAAAATATTTCATTTTTCTGATATGACTTTTATAGGCCCTTAATGACATCTAATTGAATGTATGAACTTTCTGGGAGGTCTCTTTATGGCCGGTCTCCCTGGTCTTACTTGAGCAGCTCATAGGAGGCGGTCAGCAGCTGTCCTCTGGTGTCGATGAGCTCCAGGAGGTCGGCCCAGCTCTCGTTGATGCTGTCCTTCCACTCGGCCATCGGCGCTGCTTCACTGTGTCCGCCCTCGATCAGCTCGTCGATGGTCTCGTTCACAAAGTCTACGCGCTTCTGTCCCGCCATCCCCGTCTCCCGAGCGAACTCACGAAACTTCTCCCGGAGCAACTGCAGGGGAACAGAAGGACAGAGGAGAGATATGAAGAAGCTGGAGGCTGGAGTCTGTCTGTATGTGTGTGTGTGCGTGCGTGCCTGCGTGTGTCTTTGTGTATGCACAGTTTTCAATATACTAGTACTCTTATAGGAGCTCTTAAGAACTCAAAAGGAAGATTGGCGGAACAAGCATTAACTGTAATTCTATAACTGGTTCTGAGTTTCCTATGACCTATGATGTATGCTTTTAACTATGGATCTGAGTTGCGAGAATAAATACTGTAAATAAAACAACTTTTTTGTTTAAGTAATTAATAGCCCGAGCCTGTATGATAGTTTGCCCAACCATCACAAAACTTGTGATATTATTCCATACATCAAACATGAAAACATCAAACAAACCTGTGCCATATGTGTTTAGTTTGTGTCTAAACTATGGGGACAATAACATATCTCACTCCAATTCTTAGCACTTTTCATAATCAACATAGACAAATAATTTCACCCAGAGGTCATGCTATTAAAAAAGTCGCTTAAGCCACAGCTGTATTGTAGACAAGGCTGCTGGCTCCGTGCCATGGCCCTCTCTGGACCACCTCAATCTGTCTTTCCAACAGCTCACTGTGAATTGGGGCAGATAGAGGAAAGATAGAGGTTGGAGCTTGGGACGGGGGCCTGAGAAGTGGTTCTGCAGGGTGGCAAGGTAATTTATTGCTGCTTGCGGCTTTAATTATATGCATGTGTTTTTGAAGGTGTCATTTTTTTCTAAAGTGTAGGCACTGCTTTTAACACATGAGAAGCAAGGAACAATTACCACTCATTACTTTGACAATAACCACTGTTGCAGACCAGACACCGAAATCTATTATTTGTCTTTTGTGAGAACTTTTATGTTTTTTATGGCTCTAGATCTTAAGGAGCTGCATTTGAAAACTTCAACACAAACAACATATTAAAAATAAATGCCCAGGAGTTTATCAAAGCACCTGATATTGTACCTTAACTCTCTGTAAATAGAATGTAATGTAATATGGGCTAATATCTCCTCGGTGTCTGTATTGTTCCCTCTGCAGCAGATGGCCCTGATTACTTTACACCAAAAACAGCAAAAGAACAAAATGAGAAAATCATTGTTTCCTCTGGAGGTTTTTCTGAACAAATGGCTTCCTCAGTGTTGTTTGGAAAAATCAGCCTTTGATTTCTCTGTTCGTTCAGCGCGCAGACAAAACACACTGAGGCCTCTTTAGAAATGGGTTTATCTACAGCTGCAGGCGGGGCTAAAACTCTCAATAAGAGCAGCTAAGACAGCATCGTTCCTCACATCCATCTCAGCACACGGTAGTTTGAGTCTAAATCCCCGGGCTACAAACCCATTCTAATTACCTAAAGTAAAAACCTATTGATGACTACAGCCGCTTGGAACGATCCGTCTCGGGCTGGACTCAGACAGTTTAGGTCAAAAGGGGCGATGTGCTGAGCTGGCAAAAGTGAATGTGGGTATGACAACTTTTTTGTTTTATCATTTTATAATTTGAAAGCCTGTTTTCAATATAGAATTATCAAAATGAATCAATTCTAAAACTAGATACTCATTTAAGAAAGTATTGGAAAAAAAATCCCAATTACAGGACAAATTTTACAATGATTTTGAGCTATTTCAGAACTAGTATAAACCTGGTACCAGCACTCTAACGTTGCACTACTTATGTGAAAATGTGCTGCTTATTGTTAAAAAAATTAAAATCTAAATACTCTTGTGTGATATTGACTATCAAGAAATGGAGCTTTCGCGAAAGTTCACTGTGGTAGACCCGGCTGCTGCGGCCCAGGCCACAGGCTGCTCTTCCTCGGCTCATCACACCAGCAACGCCCACATCCAATCAACCAATAACCACCAGGACAGCAAGTTAAAAGCCGGAGACGCCCACCTCCCGGCCTTCTGAAGTTTGCAAGCCTCCGCCGCCCCACCTCCTCCTTCTCTCATCAAAGCGTGCTTGCCTACTGCCTCTGCCGTCACCAGTGCCTAGGCCCCGGGGGGGATTATGCGCGCGAGCAAGCGCCGCGCTCAACAGCATCCCTCCCGGGCCTCGGGCGCCAAACATACTCAATCAATAAACATGCTTAAATCTAATAACTCTAACGGCATTTTCCTTATGGGTCTCTCCAAGGTGAATTGTATCGAGTATCGAAACTGAACTGTCATTTTTTAATATGTCATTTTTGTTAATTTTACTAAACTAAAATATAATGTGCCACTTACTAAATGTACTGTATATATATATATATATGACATGAATAAATATATGTATATTCTTGTCATTTAATATGTTTAAATTCATACAATAATTCATTAATAAAAAATATTGGTTCATTTATCCATCAATGGGTATATATTGAGGAGGACAGAAGTAACATACAGTAGATTTTGTCCCCCTCATCCCTAAAAATAGATGGTGCACTTTGAGTCTTAATATTCTCATGCTTCTCGTCACACTTTAAAAGATTAATTACAATTAAAATTTCAGAGGCTGACCAATCAGACTGTGAATATTTGGTCAGGGTCCTGTGATTGAGAATACAAAATTAGACGAAAAACCTCTGGCATTATTATAATAACGTATATTCTGCATAATACCATGATAATAGTAATTTTTCCAATCTCCATCACTACTGAATATTCAACACCTTTTCCAGCCCAAATGTAAGAATGTAGGTGGGTAATATATTGGATAAAAAATAATGCATAGTGTTAAAATATGCTAAATGTAAATATTGCATGTGTTGGTAATGCAATATTTATAACCAACAAAAAAACATTCAGTTAAAGTGATTGGATAGTTCTGCGTCTAATGCAAATCTTGAACCTCATTTAGAAGCATGTTTTATATTTTCTTAAGGCAACTGTATGTTAACAACTATGTAATAACATCCATCAAACTAGTTCCTCCCAAGAGTTTGGTTCTATCACTAGTTTTGAGAAGCTTGTATGTTTGGCCTCTGTCACATCGTTATGGTGATACTTTCTCGATATATGTATTTGGTGGTAGTGAGCGTTGTACCGTGACATGATCCAGGTCTTGTCCCATCTCTTGCGACGAGGCGATGACATCCCTCTCTGCGATCCACTGCTCCAGGTCCTGCACCTCGCGGCTCAACAGGAAGTGCTGGAAGGTGTAGTCCAGCTTCTTCCTGCGGTCATCAGCGAGCTCCTTCAGCCCCGCGTACTGCTTGTCCACCTGGCTCTGGCGTCTGATGATGGACTCGCTGTAGAGCCATGGTACAAGTCATTATCACAAGGAAAATGAATACTAGGGAAAGAAGTTGACTTTAGGCCATAGTCTGTACATAAATATGGACTCACTTTGGCTTACATTAAAACTCAATCCCCTCTAGCTCTGTAACTGTTTATGTCACACTCACCATTTTGGGCTAAAAGTATACATTGTTTACCCCTCTCATTATGTTTTGATATTGTCTTTGTAAATCCAGATATGAGGCTCCTGATTGGCTCTTTGGTAGCTGCCACCCTAGTTTGAGCTAGCTCTAATCGCCCTTTTACGCATTTGACAACCACGATGAGCGTTGTTAGTCCACTCCTTCTACAGCCGTACTAGTTACATGTTTGTCATTTCAATCCCCTTATATGGAGGTGAAAGTGACTACAGGGGTTAATTGCAATTCCAGATCATTATGGAACCGGTTAATTTCCCTTAGAATCACACAATAATGGGATTTGCAAATGTATGTATAATATAACCCCTAACGATTGACCAATGAGGAGCCTTCTATCCCCAAATTATTCTTTGACTGGCGAGTGGTGTAAGCGTCGCTCATGATTGGCTCTTTGGTTGCTAGGTTGTTGTCATCCACAGATTTGTCTCTTGAGAGCCTGTTTGAGTTAGCTGTAATCAACATCATGATAAGGCAAACACTGTGGGTGACGTCAGACTTTCTAATGTTTATGGATTTAGTTAATTATGACCTCATCCCATAACGCTAAACATACCGCCCCTTTAAGACTCGGCTTGGTCCTTCTTTATAATTGTTAATGCAAGGCTTGCATTTCATTCCATAGACTGCATTTTTCCTCCCGGAGGTGAGCCATGCCTTTTCGATATCACAGGTCATATCACATGTTTTCCTTCAGGGAGGACGGCGCAAATGAGAAAAGCCCGTTGAAGTGTATTCAAGATGGACGTGCGATTACTACACTGGTCACATTTCACACGGTTGTCACCCTTATCTCACTAAACCATAACTGACTGAAAACACAGGCGTAATTTGGTAACTGGGAAAGACACGTTTTGTTTGAACATAGACAAACCCGTCCGGATGATCTTCTGCGAACATCTCTTGTGCCCGGTCCGACAGTTTTTGAATGGCATCTTCGTAGTCGTCCACGTCTTGTTTTAGGATGGTGTGTCTCTTTAGCATCAGCATAGCACTTTGTTCGTCCTTAAAAAAAACAAATAAAACAAATTGAGCAACAATGGGAAGGAAACAATCAAGAAAATTGTGGTTGAAATATCACGAGAGACAAGATTAAAGCGCTATGAAAACAGCCAAATAGGTTTTAAATTGAGAGTGGCACTTATGAGAAACATGTCCACGTAATTGAAGGCAAATCCAGCCATGTAATTATGTTAATGCATGCGGCGCTACTAGTGATTCTTCAAAATGACATGCCCTGTTTGAATCATATTATAGAAAACCCCCATCCACAGTTCAAAGAAGGGAAATTGAAGCTTCTTATTTTCTGTTCAATTGGCCTTAAGATTTGAATATGTGATCAAAGACGAGAGGCTTTTTCAAGAAGAATTTTTCATGTGCACAAAACTATTCTCTCCTTTAGTTTTTGGGGCTGTGTAGTAGTTTAACTTGCATTGTTTTCATTGGAGAAAACTGTGATCCAGTGAACAAAAAAGTGAATGTTACAACAATTATCCAGTTAATTAGAAGTTTGAAAAAGTCATCTGAGCTTTTAACCCTTTAGGCACCAACGTTCTCTCAGAATGCGTACATACAACTTAGTGTATACTAAAATCAAAAATAATAATCTTTTTAAGTGGTGTTATTGGCGGTAAGAAGAGACTATACCCAGTTTGGAAAAGTAAATATGATCTGAAATTTCCCCCAAACCATGATTTCAATTATTTTACTCTCTTTTTATCGAATTAATATGTGGTATTATATATTCAGATTTAACTGGTTTCTTAATGTTGAGGACTGGTAAGATTTGTTTTATTGTGCAGCATTTGTAAATAGTCTACATTCCATATTCATCTCCTAGTACTCGATCTACTCTAATATTATATATAGTACGATACTTGAATAAGAACAGAAAGGGGAATGGGAAGGCCGAGGCTACTTAAAAAAATGTTTGTGAAATGTGCTTAATAAATAATAATAAAGTATAATTTTCATGTGCTAAATGAAGACAAAAAACAGCAGGAGTGTAACGTTTCCTCGTCCCTCCTCATACGTGTCTGTCACCTTGGCCTTCTCGTCTGCGATCATGTACAGTTCCTTCTCCCCGATCCAGGCCTCTGCCTCGTCGGCGTCGTTGTAGTACTGCTGCGCGTGGTTGGAGGCGTTCAGTCTGTCCCGACGCTGGTCCATCTCGTCCTGCAGTCGGTCCCAGGACGTGCCCAGGTCCCTGAGCTGGTCCTGGATCTTGTCCGCCTCCAGTCGGTCCTCCGCTCGCGCTGCTGTCTCCATCTTACGGCCGCGCTCGAGCACTTCATCCACGCGCGGCTGGTGGCCCTCGATCTCCTTCTGTAGGGTCTGAGGAGCAAGGAAACAGCTGTGAGAGCGGGGATACAGGTGTGAGGGGGATCCAGGTGTGAGTCTTTATGTTTTGTATTTGATGTGGAGTTTCTCATGGTCTTCTCGTAGTTGAACAAGGCAAAGGTGTCAAGTCATGTCAAATGCTGTTTTCATGAAGTATATATTTATCCACAGTCCTTTTCCAGAGACCGAATGAGAGAGCATCGTTGAAATAAAGCATTGTTTTGGTCTGGTCAACCAAAACAAAATGTGCTATGAGGCCATTAATAGCCGCTTGCATGTGAAAAGCATGATTCATCAGATTTCAGAAGGGATCTGATGAATCATGCTTAACACTGTGATGGGAGACAGTGCGGTGGCTGTAAACTGCTAAAATGTCATTGTGTAGTAGTTCATCACTGTGTATGGTGAATGAATAATGGTGTGTGAATGTTGTGAGTCTTTGAGAAAATATACAATCATTCTTATTATCAGCCTAAACAAATAACTCTCAACTTAGAAACAGTCAAACTATATTTTATCAATAAAGTAGGGACGATTTTCAGCTTCCTTTTTCATTGTACATTTTGAGGATGATTTATGAAGGATGAAGTATTGTGTTTAGATTTTTTATTAATCATTGTATTTATTAATTTATTTATTAATTCCCTAATTTTGAATCAAATGGATGTCCTGCAACTCAAACCTGGGCAAACTGCGGCCTGGGGGCTACATGCGGCCTGATTTACGTTGCAGCCTGCTTCAGTGAGTGCATGATGTGGTCGTGTGAGCTCCTGCCCTGGCCTGCAGCGGCGGCAGGGACAGTACCTGGTTCTTTTTCTGAAGCATTTGTACAGTTTGTAGGTTATGTCCGTGCTCCTGTGAAGTGGCCAGTGGCATCCGCTCCTCAATCCACAGCTGAAAGACACAACAAGCACAAAATTACAGAAAATGTAAAGCAGTCTAATAAGTTATTGATGATAATGAGGACTACACAAAGAACAGTTAATATTTGTTGGACTGATTAGTTGTGAGAATGTGAGTGTGAATGAGTGAATGTATGAGTTTGGTTTGCTTTTTGTTTACAAGAAAAAATCTAACAAATACAATTTTAAAACAGCAGTTATAGTTGTATATTTACAGGTAGAACATTCCTAATTCCATAAGGATTACAAAAGTATCCACTGTTATAGAGAAAATGTACAGAAAATAGACACAGTATGGCTCACTCTTACTTACCACCCGCCTACAGTCCAAATGGAGATAAAGACATCCTGTTAGTTAGTGCTGTATCTCTCTGCACAGCGTCGCAAGCCCTTTTTTCACTTGTCATCTTCTCTGCGGTGGATTTAGGCCGTAAAAGGCATAAGGGATTACAGCTATAACTCTGAAGCACCTAGGGAGCTGATTTCACACAGAGCGGCTGGACTTACTGTCACAGAGCTGAACAACAAAACTGCATTTAGAAATTAATAAACTCAACAGGATTCGGTGTCAGGCCAACTGAAGCTGAACTGCTGGATTTTACACACGTCAGAACACCAACAGCAGACACTTGTTGAATGGTTTTGGACTACTTTTCAGCCTGAATAAATATTGTTAAGCCCCAGCACATTGATATTTTCCAAACAACTCTAAATGCTCTTGTTGACAGAGTACCAGCAGATTTCCCTTTATTTAGTCCCTAATTTAGTCTGGGATTTAAAGAACAATTATCAGATGAACAAATGTACAGAGCCAACATTTCAAAAGTGAGACACAAGATCCTGCACCAGACATTAAGTCATTTTCCTCTAATGCTTGTTTAGTTTGTTAAAATGCTAGTTTGTTATTATTCTAGACCTGTTAAATGATACACCCGCTAGATAGATTCTGTATTGATCCCCCGTAGGAGTGCATACTTTGTTTCATATAATTTCAACATCCATTTTTTCTCTCCCAAAGATGTATTGGAAAGGCAGAAATTTGGTGTTTAAGTCCAATGGTTCCAGAAGTGGAGTGAGAAATAACGTGGAGCAGTTGAGCTTCCATTAAAGCCTAATTATTAATAGAAAATATTGGTCGAGTGAGGGTGGTTTTCCCTTTATCACTTTTTTGTTTGAAAATAAGGGATGGAACCAAACCGCTTTAAAAGCGAGTTAAATGGACTTAATTACTAACTTCAAGGATCAAGTGTTGGCCACCCGAGCTTTAGTGATGATTGTTACAGCTAGTTATAGATATTTTGACGAGTCTTTTTTTATTTGAATTTAATTATTTCAGGCAAAAAAGGAGCATAACAATTGCGATGATCATAAAAACATACCTATAACAAAATCAAAAAACAATTTGGCCTGAAAGGGAGTAGGAAGAAGATAACTTATTTAATCCCACGCCATTTTCCATTTAGGTTTATTTGAGTTCATGAATAAACCCTTTCCTTCCCCGTGGTCTTCTGCCCCCTCTCCCCCTCTCCCCCTCTCCCCCTCTCCCCCACTCATGTGCCCTCTCACCAGCTCGTCGGCCAGGTCTCTGTAGAACTGGTGCACGGCTTTGGCTGCCTCCAGTTTGTCTTTGCGCTCGGCCAGTGGGCTGAGGAGCTCCTGGAAGTGGGCCCTGAGACTCTGCTGCTCCTGCTCCAAAGCCGGCTGGTCCTCTCGGCCCCCGTGCTTCCTGACCGCCTCCTGCAGCTCGTCCAGCTCGCGCCCGCGGTCACGCACCTGCTTCTCTGTCAGCTGAAGAGGGGGGAAAGATAAATGACCTTTCAAAAGTCTAATCAAGATGTAGATTAAGCGGATTCAAAGTCACTCGTCGCCTTTTAATAACGTTTTTTAAGTATAAAGTGAAGCCTGTGTGAATGATTTATATTAGCAGTCACCAACCGAAATTTGAATCTACCCAAGGCCAACGACACAGGCCGACAAAAGGACATTATTTTTAGAAGTATAACATAAAGGATCTTTCTTGTCTACAGAGGTTAATATCTGTCACCACAGATTTACCCTTTAGGCGACAAAGTGCCTAATGTGCTCATGAATCTTGGACACTTTCTGTACAGCAACCTGGATTTGAACCTTTCCCTTCATTACACATTATTCTTTTTTTTCCTTTTTGTTATTAATTTTAGAGATCCTCTTATAAAATTGCCGGGCTCCAAATGAAGGACAATAATTGGCTATTCGTCAAGACCAGGTCAATCTAGAATATGAAATCAATGCCTTTCCATCAAAGTACATTGGATGGTGGATACATAATAAATAAATAAATGTTTCAATGGTAACCTTAAGAAATATGAACTCTGTATAGAGATGGGTATGTCAAAGACTTAAATTACAATGGACATGATGTTTGCAATATTCATGTTTACAATTTTAAAGTAGTTATCTAATCAGAAAGCAGAATGAGGCTTTCATTTTGGTGGCCAGTTTGCTCTGGCAACCCAGATGACAGCTAAATGTCATTTTTCTATGACAAATAGAAAGCAAAGTGTTCACTCTGTGTAATACACAGGTTTGTAATGTAGTTAAACTTGGATTATAATCGTAATGACTAGACCAAAAATGGTGTATATTTCATACTGTTTCTTTAAAATAATAATAACATACATTCAAGTCAATGTAACATTTGAACATATGAGCAGTGTATTACTGTAGTGAACGAATATAGATTGAGAAGTGCAGGTGTCTCAGACCTGGTGTTTCTTGAGCAGGATGTTGGCCTTGGTCAGGTCCCTCACGTCCTCCTCTGCTCCGCTCTTGAGCTGGAGCTGCAGTTCTTTCAGCCACTTCTTCATGTCGGTCAAACTCTGGTCGAAAAGCTCTGATCGGTTTGCGTCGAACAGGAGGCGGGCCTTCTCCTCCGCCGTGAACTCCAGTTTGTCCCAGAGCTCGTGTAGTTTGGCCAGACGCTCCTTCACAATGGGCTCAAACTCGGGCTTCGACTCCATCAGCTCCTGGCCCTCCTGAGGCAAGCCATAGGCAAGGCATGAATGAATGAAGTTAGAGAGTATGTCACAGCTGTTTCAAATAAATATATTAAGAAAGACGTGATAAGGTATTTTCAATAGTTTAAAGATAAATATTATGAACAATCATCTCCTGCCAGTGCATGTTTTAGAATGTGAAACATGTGGGGAAGGTAAATAAAGGCCTGCCCTATCCCTATGCTGCCACTAGAGGGAGGTTTCGACTATTTTTTTCAAAGTAAAAGTGACCAGCTACAAACTCAGCCATGTTTTCTAAGTTAGAGCCCCAAAATATAGGAACACTAATATGGAGAACTGCTCTGAGTGATGTCATAGTGGTACAATGACAGAAGGGGTGAAGTTAGATGTTAATAGGATGGATATTAGTTGGATGGAAATACAAAATATGACATCACTCTAATAAGATTCTGTATCCATTTGGATATTTGGCATAATATAAAAAAACACATTTATATGATTCATCTTTTTCATAGCTTGTATTTCTATTATTATTTTTGCAGTGCATTTGTGCCTGAATACTTAATACTTATACTTAATGACATCCCAAAGGCAAACAGGTGAGAGACATGTGACGAGGAGTTTCAACACAGACAAACATGTTTACATGGTTTCTACTTTTGTTTGACTTAAATGTGTTGTTAAAAGAACAAAGAACACAGAATTGGAGCGGCAAAACTTGCTTCCAGCTGAATTCTTTGTCATATGTGATATGTAACACATGTTAACGTAATAACGGAAATTATAACTTTATTTACAGAAGCGTAACAAAGCATATATTACTTTAATAGCCTACATTTTGAAAAGATTTCTTTTTTTACTTTAGTAAAAATTATTTGACTGTTACACATTTTACAAAAGAAACACATTGTTATTTTTTTAGATTGTAATAAGATTGTAAAATAATAAAGAATAGATGTATAAGATGGTATGGTACTTTCACATATTTAGGTAAAGCAGAATTTTGGAAACAATGTAGTAACTTTAGCAATGGTTGTATTGTGTATTAAAGGTAATAAATGACAAACAATAGTCTTTCATTTGGGACTAGCAACTAGCAACAACTTCACTTGCACAGGATCTAAACAATGGTTAAATGTTTGATGAAGATAAATTGCCATAAATATGTATCCAGTCCAACTCATCAAACGTCCAAAGACTTGTCCAGTCGTGCACTGACCTGGTCCACTTTGTTGAGCCAGTCCTTGTTGGAGGCGAGTTCGGCCATGAAGGCCTGGTGCTTGAGCCACTTGGAGTGAAGGTTCCGCGCCTCATCGTACGACGTGTCCTGAGCCGTCAGCATCTTCTCATTGATCCACACGGTCAGCTGCAACATCCAGAGAAAATCACATTGAAACTGGGGTCTTAAAAGACTGAGCAGGAGCACACACATGTGTATATGCAGTGTATATATACACACAACACAAAGAGTGATACAGAGGTGGCAAAAGTATAGTCCTAGGTAAAACATAGATACTTGTATAACTCAATTCGATTCAATTTATATTTGTATATCCCTAAATCACAACAGCAGTCGTCTGAGGACAACTAAAAAGTTGTCGATTGACCAACATCAGAGAATCAAACAGCTCAAGGACAAGAAATACAAAAATAACAAACACATTGGCCCATAGGGAGCGGGATGATAATGTCCATAAATGGTAATAAATATCCTTAAATGTCCATGAGTGTCCTGGATCCTCACGGTCCTTAGACCCTCCTGCATCTGCAAGGAACAACTCCAAAAAACACAGTGGGAAAAATACAAGCTTTTGTTTGCACTAAAAGAAAAAGGTATTTTGTTAAATAACTGACGGACAATGTATTATTATATATTAAACAACACAACAACATTTGTGTGCGGCTAATCACATGAATGGAATTCACTTAGAACCACTCACCACTCCAAACTTTTTTAAAGTAAGAGCAACAACATTTTCAAAGATAAGGAGTACAAAGTACAAATGTTTTGGGTAAAAAGTAAAAGGTTGTCAGGAAAAAAATAGTAAATTTAGCAAAGTGCAATAAATGAGTAAAAGTAAAAATACTGTACATGTACTTGGCACCTCTGGAATCATTTTACTTATTCCTAAAGGCACAAATTGAAATAAAAAATCAAGCAGAAACAGAAAGTTACCTATTCAAGCCACAACCGTTTGTAGTTTTTCAAAAACAATCTTACCACTAAAACTGTAAACAAAACAAAGATTGAGCTTCGTAAATGTTTTAGATAAGTCAGTTTAGTAATTACTGTGACACGCTCAAACGATCACAAACAGACTAAGTGTGAACACAGCGACCCTTTACCAGCCAGCTGGTAACTGATTAAAATCATCTTCAGCATGACTTTATAGAAAAGTGTCATTGCCAAGGCGCAGTCACTTGTGCACTAAAACATCATGAATTAAACAAAAACGGAACTTCCCAAAGTCAAACCAAAAGCCACATTTTAAATTTGTGAAAAGGTGACTTTTTGGAAATTGGATTTACATCTTTATCGCTTTAGCACAGGGCAAAAGCAATTAGCCAAAAAGAACCCGCTGTGCAAATTGAAGTTATAAATTAGTAAGAAACCCAGAATGACGCAACAATTATTAAAATCATAAATATGGCCGAAGCTTGCAGTGCTTAATTTGGCGGCTGATGACTTGAAAGGTAAACTGCATTTGAACTCACGTCTTGAGTGTTTTGGAGGAAGTGCTGCAGGTCACAGTTATCTTTGAGTTTTCCTGAAACCTCCAGAGCTCTGCGTTTGTTCTTGTCCTGCCTAAAACACATCACAAAAGACAGTTACAAAGACATGTTAGTATAGAATTATGTTTGCCTCATGGGGCAGAGGAATATCAACATTAGGCAGCTTTTAAATAACGCCTTCTAAACACTACAGGTGAAACTCAAAAGTTCATTTTTTTCTGGAATTTAACTAAACATGTGAAATAATTATTATACAAAATAAACAGTTACATGCAAAGTGACATATGTCAAGCCGTAGTTTAATATCATTTTGATTAGGGCTCACATTCAATTTGACAAATATTCAATTTGTCTTATTTATTTGTGTTTTTTACAAGCTGTGAGCCAATTATCAACAATAAACAAATAATCACTTGATATATCTCACTTGGCGTGTCATGTGTGTGCATAATTTTTCTGCTTAACTAAAGAAAAGTTTAGTTTGACATTCGAAACACAGAAGTAAATGGACTTATGAACAATATTCTGACTTTCTAACTATTCTAACTACCATATGTTAAATAACTGATTCATGTAAATATCATTAGTACGGTTGATATAAAGGTGCCCTATGGTCAGAGTTAATAGCTGTAGTCGGCACATATTTGGTGAAAAAGAGAGTCTGGATAAATGGAAGTGCACAAGGGGAAAATGGCTTCCTGCGGTGACCCAAGCCATTTCAGACTTAGTAATGAAAGAATTCCCACCATCTGTGTTGCCTACTTAAAGGTGCACTCGGTTTCATAAATAATACATTGTGTTTGTTCCAACAGAAAGAGTCTTGTTAAAGTAAAAGTTTGCAAGAAAGTCCAACCACAACATGCTGTCTTCATCGTACTAGAAACATATTATTTATTACATAAGAAAGAGCCCTTTGAGTCGCTATTTAACTCTTTGGGCTGAGAGTTGCCAAATGGGGAGGGGGGACGGACGGAATCTGATGAAGATGTGACAGAGCCAAAAAATAAATGAGAAAACCAAACCGTAGAACTAAACTGTTTTGAAAGCGAGGTACAAACTAAATTGACGTTTATTGTTGTTTGAAAGTGAGATACCTCAGCTTTTAATGCACTAAAGCTAGAGATTTTAAACTGGCTTCTTTTGTATGCTAAAATTAGAGATGTTATTTTATTGTATTTTATTTTAGGAAAGCATTATTGTTATTATCTTGTGTTGTGTGTTGCATTCACTACTGTTCTGTAACCGGTGATATAATACTGAAATTTCCCCACTGTGCAACGAATAAAGGATCTCTCTTAAGGGTACATAGGGATTTTCTTCTTCTGGGTGGATGATCAAAAAAATTGGTCCTCCTAATTATCGATCATTCTGGAGATACGTGCTCGTCAATCCAGACCAGATATTTTTTTTCAAAAAGTTGAGAGGGCGTTTCTTTCCTAATGTTTATGAAAATTCTCCAATATACCTTTATCTTAATCTTAATTAAATAAAAAACAACACGCAGTACATTAATATTTTTTTCCTACATACATTTTTGCCTTGTGTTTTTTTTTGTATGTATATAATGTAATAATTTTGAATATTCCAAGCAAAGCCGTAGCTAAAGTGAAGTAGCAGACCCTCCACCAGAATAGTTCCATATGCCACATTAACATAAGCCAGACTGAATCCCTTCATATGCGGCAAACGCCTGACATGGAAACACAACAGCGCACACAGGCATTTCTCGGCCTCACTTTGAAGAATAGCTCTCACTTATGGATCAATAGCCATTAGAGTGTGAGCTGCTGTATGAGGCTGGATGTGGAAGTTAATGGGAAAAGTGCCCCCCGCCCCTCTCTCCTGCGCCTTGTCGACAGCCCTGATACAGTAATCAAAAAGCTGTTATCAGGGATTGCTGGGTTACAAGGTGAAGAGTGAATATTTTCTACATTAGAGGTGGTTTGGTGGGAAGGATGGTAAAACGCTCTCAAACACGAGCTATTTATCGGAAGTGGAAAAGTAATTGTACCAAAAGTTTTACTGGGGGAAAAAACAGTCGTAAAAAAAACGTGTTGTTGCAGAGACATTTTCAGCAAAGTAAAGGAAAATGTAGCTTAACTAGTGGAGAGTGCCGCTGTTTCATCTTCAGAACAAGACTTGCAGAGAATGTTCCTCTGTATGTTATTAACTTTTCATGTTGGGCTTTGAAAATTACAATAGTGTTTTTATTTTCCCACAATCATGAGGAGGATCTTATTAACTGGGCAAGTTGATAAAACCAAAACAGTTCTATTCTATACGTATATTTAAGAATAAAAAGGGAAAACTATGTGTTCTATTTTTTGTGGCCATACCTGCTTCTCATTGCCAGATCACATCAGATCTTATAGACTAAGCTGGACAGAGGCTGGATAGTACAGTGATGGGAGATCGTTGGGAATACCAGGTATACTCAGTGGGACGACTGATAGGCAAGACACTTCACCCACATAGCCTGGTAATGATGATGGCAGAGATTGGTAGTGTACCCCAAGGGCAACTGTGGCTGCAGTTCAGTACAGCATAGTTCATGCATACACAGTACTTTGGAAATTGTTTTTTTATAAAATGTGCTACATTTCGGACTGGATATACCACCACTGTGTATAGCAGGATTGAATAATGTCCAAAAGCACTTTATTATTGGACTTTTAGTTGTCAATTGCAAGGCATTGCACAACATGAAGGACACAAGTATTTCGCACCTCTTCATGTGAAATCCTCTTATGTTTTTCACCTCTGACTCACAATATTGTACTCACTTGGAGTGTGGGAAAACCTGCAGTGGTGCGGCAGGATAAATAAATCAAACTGTGATGTATTTTTCATGTGGCAGAGGGGAGCCAAACTGAGAACCAAAATTTCCAAACGTGACATAAACTTAGAATGAAAAAACATTTCACTGAGGCTGTCAGACGTTTGTTGCCGTCCAAAACCCCACTGACCTGTCCCGGATCGAGTCCATCTTCTCCTGGACTTTGTTGGAGTACAGGTTGTTAGCGTCCACCAGCCGCTGTCCCGTCTGCATCGCCCCATCAATCTTCTCCTCGTTGGCCTCCATGGTGCTCACGAAATCCTCATGCTTCTTCAGCGCCTTCTCGGCCCCTGCCAAGGTGTCCGGCTTGTCTATGTGCGCCAACGTGTACTCCTGCATCCAATATGCCCACATATTGAAAAGTTAAGACAGGAGTGAACAGAGAGAAATACTGAAAAGGACACAACAAGATGTGGTGACTGTGTAAACCAACCACGCTGCATTCTTTCTCAACGCATTCTTTTAAATGTCTGGGCTAAAACCAACCCAAGAGTCAAGAGGGGGAGTGGAACCTTGCATTGTGTTATTTACTTAAAATTTACATAAAGGTGGAGTGTGTGGATGCAGTCGGGTTCACAGTGTTCAGATGATGTACAGACAGATGCCTTGAAGGGACTTGCTCTGTTTGCCTTTAGAAAACAACATATTCAGCTCAAAGCCATTTAGATTTTTTATAAAGTGTATGTTTAGTGATCATAGACATTTATGCTCTGAAGTAAAAAAAATAAAACTACAAATTTATACACGAGAAGTTTCTTTCCCAAGGTTATCTACCAGTTAACTGCAACTTCCCTTAACTTTTTTAATTCATGATTCTGATTGGATAATTCCAAATGAATTCCCTTTCTTTGAGCAAAATGTGTTACAATCCCTAATATCTTCTTAAGGGCCTGTCTTTCACGGACATTCTGACTAGTGATCAAAAGGAAATAAGAATAAGTTCTGGTTTGGGCTCTTGGTAGGTGTATCAACTCTTTATGCAACATGTAACAGGCAGGCATTGTGCTTTGGCCAAGAGCTTTCCAGGGTCCTCTCTCTCTCAGCCATCTCTTCTTGGTGTATGATATTTTCTGTTCTTGTAATTATTCAGTCATTAAATGTGCTCTTTCATGTCTATTGATCTGGGCCTAGTATGTACAGGAACATTAACATTTAAATGATAACAATATAGACTTATATTAGGATATTCCATTTTGGGTTTCTGAACAAAATGAGTTAGTTCAGTTACATGCTGAAATTAGGTATAACATGCCATTGTAGTCGAGATTTCAGAAATATGTTCAAAATGTCTAAATAAAACCCATACATTTATACCCTGACTCTTACATCACATTTATGCACCACAGAAAATATATATATAAGTTTTGTGGTTTTTGCCCATAGTTTCACACACCTGGTTGTTGAGTATGGCCTCCACCGCTTTGGCGTCCCTCACAAACTGCTGGAATCCCAAAGCCTGGTCCAGGAAGTTCTTCCGACTGTCCCACATCTTCTGCAGCTCCACCCAGCCTCTGTCGAAGCTCTTCAGCCTCTTCTCCAGCTCCTGGTACTGTGGATCATCCTGCTGCCCCGCGGTCACCTGCACCCCTGTGTCCCGGACCCTGACGTAGTCCTCTTCGTGGTTGCTTATGTCTTCTCTGACTGCATCGTGGAGGTTGAGCTGCTCCTCTGCTTCCGGTAGCGTGGCTGGCATTTCTTCAGACGCCACTGCCTTCTGAGTTTTGAAAAGCCAAGACTGAAAATCGTCCATTTCTTGAAGGAAAGACTGGAGCTTGCTGACCTCGCCTAAGGAATCTTCTCTGTCTTTCAAAGTCTTTCTAAGTGTGTCCCAAGCATTGTCCAGCTCGCCTTTACGTGCCAAAATGTCAGCGGCGTTGTCAGGGTGGTCCTGCGCTAACTGATCAGCCTCTTTCCTCAAAAAGATGAGCTTTGCGTCGATAGCTGCTAAATCTCTCTCCATACCGAAGAGTTTTCTTTGGATTGTCATGACGGCTTGCAGGTCGTTGCCCAGCTCCTGTGTGGACTCGATGACCCTGGTTTTGTCCTTGATCCAGGCCTCAGTCTCGTCGCACTCCAGGCCATAGTTGTGGTAGCTCAAGGCAGAGTCGATCTTTCTCTTCTTTTCCTCCACCATGGCTTTGAACGCATCCCATCTAAGGAAAAAAATAGATGAGATTGTACATGATTATAGTGTTTAGGATTTACAGTTGAAGTAAATTGCGTTATTCGCAATTCCTCATAATTGATTAAGTAATATCTTTTGTGGAAGTCATGTGAATCCTTTAGTATTCCTAAAAATATAAGGAGGAAATTAGGATTACATTTGAGCTTTTATTACCTTGTTTAAAGACATAGTCAACCTCAATGAATAAAAGTTTAAATAAATGATTATTTTTTCCTAATACTTAGACACGTAATAGCATTAAAGTAATGTATTGATCCACTTGAACTAGCACGGGAGGGTATATTTTTCTGATTTCCTAAATTGTGATAAACAGGTGAAAAGTATTTTTTATATATTGAAGGTGTAAAATATATATGAATTTTTTGGGGTTAGTTAAAGTAGGACCAGATTCATAGGCTCCTTCTCGTACGTACCTCTTGTTGAGCCGGGCCTGGCAGTCTTTGACCTCTTTGGTTCGAGGATGTCTGCTCTCCTCCAGCTGTTTCACTGCTTGGTTCACGTCATCCACTCTGGACTGAACATTGGCCATGTCCTGAGTCAAAATGCTTAACCTAGATACAAAAAGATGATGGTCAGTCAGCAATGTTTAAAGACAAGCTTCACTCTCCCCACATATCGAGGACTAGTAACAAGATATACAAATATTTAATTTTGAAATTAATTAGTAATTTGTTTTCACTGATGAATGTGAAACAAACAAATGTAACTACAATAAATCTCATATCATGAAGAGTATACATCACTGCTACTATTTTACTGTTTTCCAAACGTGTCTTGTGTAAGATGAAAGAGCTGGAGTGCCTTCATATTAAACCACAAAATAAAATATACCCATGCATTATAATACATTTAACAAGTTCCTCACTCGTAAAATAGTTCGGGTCTATCACTGGTTTTTGCATATTTTTGTCCTCTGGCACATGTTTAGATCAGAAATTCCAAACAAAAAATGGAAGAGAGGTTCACAATCACTCAGCCAATCAGCTCTCAGCATAAAGCATCAAACAGTGACTCAAAGTGCTCTTTCTAATCATATAGACGGATAAAACAGCATGTTGTGGTCTAATTCTGTTGTAAATAACATAAATTATTTATGAAGAAAAGGTTAGGTAGCTTTAAACGCATGTTAAACACAAACGTCCACCACTCACTTGTTCTGTATGACCTCCAGATCCTCCAGTTTCTCCGGCACGTCCAGACCCACCAACCAGGTCTCCTTCTGCCCCATCCACAGCTCGCATGCGTCGCTCTCACTGAAGATTGTGTACAGCGCCATGGTGTCATCCAGCTTCTTCTGCCTGAGATCCGCCAGGGTCAAAAGCTCCATGTACAAATCTTTTATATCTTTAAGCCTCCTCTGAATATCGGGCGTGTTTTGGAGCTCTTCTGGCAGAGCGTTGGCTTGTTTGGACAGCGCTTCAATAGTGGCCCCATTCTTGATAGTTTCATTTCTCAAATCGTTGTGCTTTTTCAGGAGCCGCTGCGTGGTGTATTCGTCATTCCCCACATCGTCGCTGGTCATCTGCCTCTTAGTGTCCAACAGCCACGCTTTGAGATCGTCCGCGTCGCCTTGAAACTGGAAGAATCTTTGTGTGTCTTGCAGGTTTTGTTTGCGAAATGCAGCCAGCTCCTCCAACTGATCCCATTGACGTTTGATGTTGTCCATGGATTCTTGGACCTTCGGCGCGCCAAAGTGCTTCGCTTGAACCATATTCTCTCCCTCGGCTAAAACATCTTGCAGGTGGGTCCGCCTGGCTCCGAGCTCGTCCTCAAAGGCACTGTGTTTGCTCTGCAGGATCAAAACGCTGGTGAGATCTTTGCCGTAATCCAGGGAAGAGAAAATCTGCTCCTTCTCGCGGATCCAGCTCTCCAGTTCGGCCACTTCCCAAAGAAAGGTCCAGAAGCGGCGGGACTGCTCCAGACGCGCTCTCCGCTGAGCTGCTAAAGCACGTAGCTCCTGATAACAGAGGTCAAGGTGCTGCACCCGGTCACGGATCACCTGCGGGTCGCACGGTTTATAGGCTGCAACAGTAAAAAGAGCAATGTTACTTCAAACTTTTTGAGTGCGTTTAAAGACTGTTTCAACACGTTTTAGTGAGAGCCCCAGGAGAGAATTCCATATGCTGAGGTATTATATTTTATGATCTTATTATTTCATTATTTCATTATCTATTATCTTAAATAATAGATTCTGTGTGATGTGTGAAACCTGAGTGCTCTTATTTTCTCCTTTTATTCTGCTGTAATAAAAGTAATAAATAAAAGTCCTTTATATCAATAAAGGACTTTTAGTTATTTATTTTTTCACTACAACAGAGTGCCTCAGACTTCTTTTTCTCTTTTTGACATCCTAAATCTGCTTAGATTGCCCTGTCTTTGAAGAGCACCTGTGTGTTAAGCCCTTTACCATTCGTACCCTCTGCAGCACTCACAGATCTTACTCGGTTCGGAGCCGACCACGATTCAAACCCTGGATCTTATTGTTGAGAAGCAAGACGATACTAAACACTTTACCATCATGCCGCTCCGTCTCATCCAGTGTGTGCGGAGGAAGTAATTCATTAACTGTGAAATAACGATAGTTAAATTAATTTAGAAATATATGAATTCATCTCATTTTGGATCATCTGTGAAATTTATCTGTGTCAAATTTATTTATCATTCACCATTTTCTAATTTTGCATTTTTGTGTGTGATTATGTCCTGCTAAAATGTTATTGTGAAAAATACAAAATATTAAAAATCGTTTATTTCAAATATGTCATATATTATTTTGTTTATTTATCTGTTGTAACATCTTGAAATTGAACCGTATTCAACAGATACGAGGCACACCTAATTTCTACTCCACAGCACTGTGTACTCATCCCTGTTTATAAAACTCTACTTAAATATATGAATATATTGAGCTGCACCTGACATGGCATTTTTCCGAGGGGGATTTAGAGTGGAATATTTCACATTAGTAATGTGAAAACAATGAAACTACAGCCGCTCTCTTTAGAGCATGTGTGATGTTTAACGAGTAAATGTCTACAGTTATGTTGCTCATTTAATCCCACTCATTCCTCTGCTGAGGATTTTCCATGTCTTTAATCTAATCATATTTTAAGTAAGTGAATGCATCTGGTAAGAATTGAGTCGGAAATTAAGACTTAATTAAACACCATAGACCACACATGGGGCAGTTGCCAAGTAGGGAAGCAGTTGTTGGCAGGCTTACTATCTCCGTTTGCAAACTTGAGCGCAGCTGCACTGGCGCCCTGCACCCTCTCCGCCTGCAGCGCGATGTCATTCTCCAGCAGAGCGTGTTTCTGGAGAAGGTCCTCCACTTCCAACAAGTGCTTTCCAAAGTCTGGAGAGAGCAGGCGGGCCTGGGAGAGGACAGAAAAGTATTCAGGCTGTTTGAAATGCTTCATTACATGAGAGGAGAATGTTGGATTGAAATAAGAAATACAGACAATTTACTTTTTTTTAAAGAACTGAGGATGTGTGTGCTGCTTGGCTGTGAAAGTGAAAAAAATTCACATTTTGCCTCGAAGGAGACGCATGTAGCGCACAGTTGTTTTGACCTGCTTTCCAATATGCTTTTTTTGTTTGTACATCTAAATAGTAAAACATATATGCACAAATCCCAGATTGTGTAGGCTCCAGAATGTTGTCACCAAGACAGGGCCATTGTCTGCAGAGGGCCATTTATGTGTCTGTCTGCCTTGCTCACCCTAAAGTAGACATTGAGATCATAAACACAAGTTCACAGAGTCATCCAACCAAAGACATGTTGTAAAGCTCAGGACCTTTTTGACTTTGTTTGGCTATACCCCCATATATTTGTGATCAGGGCATAAATGCCCATAGCCTGACTCTCGCCAGACCCTTGTAGATCTACAAGATAGAACTACAAGGATCTAGCAAGAACCAGGCTAATAAATGCCACATATGACTCTAATGTAGCTCGTGAGAAAGTGCAGCTCACGTCAAATACGTACAAGCTCAGAACAGCTCAGTTCGGTCAAAATACTTTTACAATCCAGATTGGCGGGAACCTAAACAAGTCTGGTGAAATAATATAGCACTCTAACTAAAATGTTTGTGTGTTTGGTATTTTTGCATTTCTTGTGTTCAAACTTTTTGATCAGTTATTGAGGAATTGAAAACTATTTAACAACAGCAGGAATTTAAATAGGGCTATACAAAAAATACATTGAAATTATTTGAATTGAATAGTTTGTCCTTGTGAAGTATCCAACTTGTTTTCATTAATGTTAAAGTCAAATATATTCTACAGAACTCAAGACAACATTGCTCTGACAATCCCCTTTTTATATTCATACAATCCAAGTTACATGTATGTATCGGAAACCTGCTCATGACACGTGTAAACAAATAACCAATGATTGTGATAGCCAATAACATCCCAGGATCCAGTTGTGATCTCTGCTTTTAAACTCGTCAACGTACCTTCATCTCATCCATCCAGTTGATGATGTAAAGCATTTCCTGGAAGATCCGTTGTAATGTGAGGTTCTTGTCCAGGCGCCCTCTCCTGGCCTTGAGCAGCTCCTGCAGGTAGTCCCACAGGCGGAGGATGTTGTCTTTCCTCACGTCGATGCGCTTGGCGTCATGATAGCGCTCGGCTTCCAGCTCCTGGGAGATGTTGACCATGGCCTGCACGCGCTCCTCGTACGCCGCGATGTCGGTCTCGATGGCGTCGTGCTTTTTCTTCGCCGCCTCCACCGCTGAGAGGTCGTAACCAAAATTATCCTGCAAAAGGGCATTGATGTTTATAGAGTGACATTATAATATCAAGATAACATCAACAGATTAATCTTTCCCCTTAATGAGTTTGATTTTGTTCTCACATCTGGCACTTTCTTGTTAGTGTGATTACTTAGTGTTTTGGAGCCAAGCTGTCTCTGCTGGCTGCCTCTCATACTTAATGAAGATGTGTGCAAACAGCCCCCTGCTTCAGTCAATTAATTTAATACATGTCATTTTTAATTAGTAAACTTCCATGTGCGTTTAATGAGGAGAGATAAGAGGATACCTTAAACTCTCTAACGATATCACTGAAGTACGATGATGGAGGAAAGCGCTGACATTTGGTCTGCATTTTCTTTACAATAACTCTCATTTCCCATCTGTTGTTTTCCAAAATTTAAATCATATTATACACTTCTTAATTAAACTGGAACAATTCATATAAACTGCAAAAAATCATTTGTTAAACATTTATTGCATGAGTGCCAGTGAATGTATTCTCGAGTAACCTAATTGTCTAGAAATGTTTTGTGTTAGACCTGGGTTAGACACAGTATATGTAAGGCCCCTTCACCCCGCCAAATGCCCTGCCAGCGTCTTGGACTCCATTCATTTTAAATCAGACAAAAGAATCTAGTGAAGCCATGCATTGACCAGTGCTGAGTAGGCAGGCTGAAGTTCTTCAACCTGTTGAAGATGCCGCCTCAACGTCGGCATCTTGAGGGCGAACTTCCTGCAGGCCCGGACTCCACTTGTCAAAACAACCATCCATCCATCCATCCATTTTCTTCCGCTTTATCCGTTGCCGGGTCGCGGGGGCAGCAGTCTAAGCAGAGACGCCCAGACTTCCCTATCCACACACACTTCCTCCAGCTCGTCCGGGGGGACCCCAAGGCGTTCCCAGGCCAGCTGAGAGACATAGTCCCTCCAGCGTGTCCTAGGTCTTCCGCGGGGCCTCCTCTCGGTGGGACGTGCCCGGAACACCTCCCCAGGGAGGCGTCCAGGAGGCATCCGGAACAGATGCCCGAGCCACCTCAACTGGTTCCTCTCGACGTGGAGAAGCAGCGGCTCTACTCCGAGCTCCTCCCGTGTGACTGAGCTCCTCACCCTATCTCTAAGGGAGTGCCCAGCCACTCTGCGGAGGAAGCTCATTTCGACCGCTTGTATCCGCAATCTCGTTCTTTCGGTCATTACCCAAAGCTCATGACCATAGGTGAGGGCGGGAACGAAGATTGACCGGTAAATCGAGAGCTTTGCCTTTCGGCTCAGCTCCCTCTTTACCACAACGGTCCGATACAGCGACCGCATCACTGCGCACGCTGCACCGATCCGCCTGTCAATCTCACGCTCCATCCTTCCCTCACTTGTGAACAAGACCCCGAGATACTTGAACTCCTCCACTTGAGGAAGGACCTCTCCACCCACCTGTAGAGGGCAAGGCACCTTTTTCCGGTCGAGCACCATGGCCTCGGATTTGGAGGTGCTGATTCTCATCCCAGCCGCTTCACACTCGGCTGCAAACCGTCCCAGTGCATGTTGCAGGTCCTGGTTCGTTGGAGCCAACAGGACAACATTGTCCGCAAACAGCAGAGATGAAATCCTGTGGTCTCCGAACCGGACCCCCACCGACCCCTGGCTGCGCCTAGATATTCTGTCCATAAATACAGTGAACAGAACCGGTGACAAAGGGCAGCCCTGTCGGAGGCCAACATTCACCGGGAACAGGTCTGACTTACTGCCGGCAATGCGAACACAGCTCTGGCTCCGGTCATACAGGGATCGGATGGCCCTCAGCAGAGGACCCCGACCCCGTACTCCCGGAGAACCCCCCAAAGGACACCCCGGGGAACACAGTCGAACGCCTTCTCCAAATCCACAAAGCACATGTGGACAGGTTGGGCGAACTCCCATGAACCCTCGAGTATCCGATGGAGAGTGTAGAGCTGGTCCAGTGTTCCGCGACCGGGACGAAAACCACACTGCTCCTCCTGGATCCGAGATTCGACCATCGGCCGTAACCTCCTCTCCAGTACCTTGGAGTAGACCTTACCGGGGAGGCTGAGGAGTGTGATCCCACGATAATTGGAACACACCCTCCGGTCCCCCTTCTTGTAGAGAGGGACCACCACCCCGGTCTGCCACTCCATTGGCACTGCCCCCAATCGCCACGCGATGTTGCAGAGACGTGTCAGCCAAGACAGTCCTACAACATCCAGAGACTTTAGATAATCAGGGCGGATCTCATCCACACCCGGAGCCTTGCCACCATGGAGGCTACCAACCACCTTGGTGACCTCAGCCAGGGAGATGGATATATCCGCCCCAACATCCTCAGCCTCTGCCTCTGTAACAGAGGACGTGACGGGGGGATTGAGGAGAACCTCAAAGTATTCCTTCCACCGCCCCACAATATCCCCAGTCGAGGTCAGCAGCTCTCCACCCGCACCGTACATGGTGTTGGCAAAGAACTGCTTCCCCCTCCTGAGGCGCCGGATGGTTTGCCAGAATCTCTTCGAGGCCGACCGATAGTCATGCTCCATGGACTCTCCGAACTCCTCCCAGTCCCGGGTTTTTGCCTCTGCAACACGCAGCACGCTTGGCCTGCCGGTACTGGACAGCTGCCTCAGGAGTCCCCCGAACCATCATGGCTCGATAGGACTCCTTCTTCAGCCTGACAGCATCCCTTACTGCCGGTGTCCACCACCGGGTTCGGGGGTTGCCGCCGGGACCAGCACCAGAGACCTAGCGACCACTGTTGTGTGTGCGGACTGGGTCGCCGAGGTCTCCGCCTTCGACTGCCGCCCAGTCCTCTCAGCACCGCGCCACCACGGACCCCTCTGCAGGTGGTGGGCCCACAGGAGGGACTGCCCACGTCATCCCTTCGGGCTGAGCCCGGCCGGGCCCCGTGGGCTAAGGCCCGGCCACCAGGCGCTCGCATACGAGCCCCGACCCCAGGCCTGGCTCCAGGGTGGGGCCCCGGCTGCGCCATGCCGGGCGACGTCATCGTTTTCATATTTGTGCTGTCCATGGTGTCTTCTGGACTGCTCTTTGTCTGACTCGTCACCTGAGACCTGTCTGCCATGGGAGGCCCTACCAGGGGCATGAAGCCCCAGACAGCATAGCTCCCAGGATCATCCGAGCTCCCAGGATCATCCGAGATCCACGTGAGATGTTTTGTCAAAATATATATCCGTTATCCATGTGTTTCATTTAGCTACATGAGATAGAAGCAGTGGGGGCGGGTCCCGGCTCAAAAGTGGCCAAAATGACGTGCGCTGACATGCTTGCAATACCACCCCGGGCTGATGGGGGTGGACCCAGAAGTAGAATGAACCAATGCTAACATATAGCATTGGCAGACCTCTCGAAAACGTCTTTACAGGATGGACCAAAAGTTGGCTCTTGGCCCAAAGCTCCGTTCCACATGTGTGTCAGTGCTGAGGGGAGTGAATTTTTTTGCACCACTCTAGTTTACTTGCTGTGAATTTTTGAATTCTCTAGTTCAAATGAATGGAGCTCTCGCCGGCTGACGTATGCACAGATGCGTTTTTTCACAATTTTCTTGTGGGCGGGACCACTCGCGGCCATTTTGGATAGCTCCAGTAGAGCAAATTTTTTGCCCCATTAGTTAGAACGGCGGAGATAGGCCCCACTCTGTGCCATGCACGGTGACGTCTGTATGGAGCAGTTGTCCATTGAAAATACACCAAAAAAAGGACTTTTGCCCGATTAGCTACATGGACGTGAAATACAAGTCTGATGATGACACTATATCCACTATAGATCTATCATCTGCAATGATGCAGTGGTATAGCCTCTCTCCCCGTTAGGCATGGCAGACGGGAGAGGAGCCTAGTGTAAACAAAGATGCAACAGTGGAGTCCAGGCCTTAAACTTTGCCGGACACAATGCCTGGACTGGTGTGCCCTTAATATATAAGAGAACCTTCAACACAGAAGTGGGATGCAAAGTATCGATGTAATATGTGGTATCATCAATCAGATCAGACAAACTGCAGAATATAATAACATTAATAAAACCAAGTTGAGTTTTGAGACAAATCCCCACATGTGAATGTCTGAAATCATACCTGAGCCACTAGTCTTTGATTCTCCAGCAGCCAGGTCTCCCTCATGGCCGCCTTCCTGTCAAACCTGCGCGCCATCTGCTCCAGCTTCTCCTGTCGGATGAGCTCGTCTCGCAGGACCCTCTCGCGCTCATGCTCGGCCCGCTCCAGACGCTCCCAGGCCTGTTGCATGATGGGAATGAGCAGGAGAATCGGCATCAATAATTGTACAACATATTTTTGTATGATGAAAACTTTGGAGGTCATTTGGGCAAGTGGAGCGTAACATTGGGCGAGTTTGGACACTTTATAAACAAATAAGAGAAATTATAGATTTCAAGTCGTGTATTTTAAAACGTTTTGTGTCAAAACAAGGACTGCCTTCACGCGTGGTTGATTCTATTGTTGTATTCACTGCCCTTTGAGGTTCTCAATACAAGGTATACCTGACCACAAATACATATTTTGCAATGGACTCAAGGACACTAATGAACAAGTATTTGTAAGACATGCTTACATGCTTTACGTGAAAAATCAAATCAAATGTATTTATATGGCACATTTAAAACAGCTGAAGATTAAAAAAAACACATGCAAGAGGATTAAAATAAGATGTTTTCAAAGAATAAATACAATACAATACAATATATGGACTAAACGGTGTTTAGTCCAAGCAGATCTACAAGTAAACTTGCTGGGCTCTTGACATTTGACATTGTACGCATAATAACTTTCTTTCTTTATGTTTGATAGAAAAATACAAATGGTTGAGGGCACTACTAAGAAAAGCACCTTACATTGGATATATTGCCTTCTTTGACTGATTGAATGACTCTCTACTTTACATAATCATACTGTTTATTGAAATGTGTAAGTGCCACCCTGTTTGATAGTGAGGTATGAGTGGCATATTAATAACCCAAATGAGTGTATATTTAGTGCAAAGTCCTGACCCTGTTGATGTCAGAGACCAGGGCCCCCTCTTTGGGCGTGTAGACCCTCTGGTTGTTGGCCCTCATCCGGCTCTGGATGGTGAACAGCAGCACCTCCAGGTTTCCCTTCTCCTGGAACCTGCGCAGAGAAAGATTATTGTTTATTTTCACTTGTGTTACGCAGATGAGATCAGAATCAGAATCAGAATCATTTTTATTGCCACGTAAGTAACAGGAAGTCACAGACTTGGAATTTGCTTTGACTCAGTGCAACAGTCAGAAAGAGATAATAAAAAATAAAGAATAAAAAACACTTCTCAGGAATAAATTTAAATTTGGGGTGTGTTGTAATATTAGGGTGACAGATACAAACTAAAACATGCACTCTATATAGTATGATCATCTCTGACCCCCGTGGCTCTTTATTAAACATATGGTTGATAGAAAATGTACCTCTAACACAATGTACAGAGTGTCAGGCAAACGTGCTTTTGCTCCTCTGCAGAGAAAGTTTCATAATTCATTCTTCCTTTGAGCAAAAACATGGGGGCTCAGGCAGGTGAATCCTCAACATATCATGGATTCAGAAAAGGAAATTGACAAAGAAAGTCAGTAAAACCCGAGGGGAGGGCTAGTCCTAGTAGTATCTATCCGTCTATCTTAGAATATTAATGTATTGTGAAATATGTTTGTACTTGTTTTGTGATTTGAATATTTCCTTTCTAGTTTTGTGAAGCTGTCCAGTGTATACATTATTAGTGCTATGCAAATAAATGTGCCTTCCTTTCCCATAACTACAGTAACAACATCTTACTTTGGTGGTTTCTCCACGGTGCGGTAGGTGTTGAAAGCCTGTAGCTGCTGCTGGACTCCGGTCAGAGAGTTGGCCAGTTTCCGGTTGTTCAGGACAATTATGGTTTGTTCAATCCACTTGAGCAGATCTGAGGCCAGAGTCTCGTACTTATCGACCATCTGCTCCGTCTCAATGGCTTGATCCAGGACCTGAGGAACAAATCAACACTAGCAGTAGTAGGAGGAGTAGAAGTAGTAGTAGTGGTAGTAGCAATAGAAGTAGGAGTAGAATAGTAGAAAAATAAGTAGCAGTAGCAGAGGTAGTAGAAGTAGTAGTAGACTTGTAGTACTAGTAGTAGTAGAAGTAGTAGTAGTCCTAGTAGTAGAGCACACATTAGAGAAAGTAGTAGTAGTAGTAGTAGTAGTCCTTGTAGTAGAGCACACATTAGAGAAAGTAGTAGTAGTAGTAGTAGTAGTCCTTGTAGTAGAGCACACATTAGAGAAAGTAGTAGTAGTTCTTCTTCTCCTTCTACTAGAAGGAGAAAAAGAAGTAGTAGGAGTCCTAGTAGTAGAATTTGCAGTAGTAGTAGTAGTAGTAGTTGTAGTAGTAAAAGAAGAAGTACTAGTAGTAGCAGTAGTAGAAGGAGAAGAAGCAATAGTGGTAGTATCAGTAGTAGTAGTAGTAGTAATAGTAGTAGTAGTAGTAGTATAACAGCATACTTTTCCGACTCTTTTCCCTTCGACAGCCAGTTGCTTCATCTTGGAGAAGTAGTGGTAGAAGGCCACCACATACGTGATGATGGATTTCTCATCAGGGTTCTCTGTGAACACGTCTAAAACACAACAAACAAGGTCCTTTTCAAAAACCCACGTGATAATCAAAACCTTCAACCGCTGTGGCTGAAGTACCGTGCCAATACTTACTCCTAGGTCAAATTACACTGCGGTCATAAAAGGTAAAAATGTGGGATCAAAATGAAATGACTTGACTTAAGGAATGTGTGGCGTGTGAATGTCTTGATAAAATATTTGAAATCTATAAGTATTAACTTAATCATTGCACTCCCAACTTCAGATGAATTGTTTTCAATATAGCCCTATTCCATCAGCAGCATTTTGGGTTTCTGCTATCATGCTTTTTGTTAAATTAGCTCCTCTGTCTGACTATGCCATTTTCTGCCCCTCTACTTTGGAACAAGAGGCTTCTCCAGGGAAGGCCACTACCCAGAGTACTCCACGCAGACCTCTGAGTACGTCTAAGAGCACTCACTCATTAGGCCCAGTGCTCCAAAGCTGCCTCTGTCTGTGGAACTATCTTATTTGAAAATCTTGCATGTACTTGTGTGCATAGGCAAGCATGGGCGTCTCTGCTTATAGACTGCTGCAGACAAGCCGGAGATGGATAAAGCGGGAGAAAACGGATGGAGCCATGTACTTGGGATACCTAATCGTTCATTATCCTAAAACATTTGCATACTTTATACTGTAAGTCACTCTGAATATTTGGGTTGAGAGCAATATCATTCACTTGTCTGTTTGAAAAAGAATTGATCTAAAGATGCCTTACCAAACATACACGCGCACAAAAACTAAACTGTTTTGAGGAACTATAGCTACATAGATGTTATTACATAGATTATTGCATAGATTTTCAGAAATTGTGCCCCAGAAAGTTAGGTACCCAAGCTTTAAGTGTGACAGTTCCCAAACCCATACCTACATCTGTGTCCTGTCTAATGTATGTGGTAATGTTTATGCTTTCATCTAATTGTACATTGTCTATTTAAAACACAAGATAAAAATACATTTGAGGATATATTTAAGGTATTTTCTCTTTCTTGTCCTTCTCACCTTCTGGGTCCAAAAGCTTTGTCACTCCAAGTTTCTGCTCAGCCACGTTGAAAGCGTTCTGGAGATTATGAGTGGGGTTGGACCTTCTCAGAGTGTTGAAGTCCACAAGATCAGGCCTAAAATAAAGACATTATAAACATGGACATTATTCAACCATGTGAGGAAACAAAGCGGGCTGTTGTAGTCTCTCACCGGTGTCTGTGTATGAGAGCGTTGAAGGCCATGCCGTCTTTCCAGCAGGTGGTGAAGTTAGTTATGTTCACGTTTGGATATCTGCAAAACAGTCACCAGGAGACATGACAGGACACAAAAGCACAAGGAGATTTAGGAGACATTTGGGGCACAACGCTTCTGCCCATTTAGGGTTGCATTAGTGGCTTTGTGAAGACTTATAGACTACTGGAGGAAACTTAAAAATGCTATTGAAATGTTTTTCTTTGCGTGACATTCAGATTAGAATTGAGAAATAACATTCAAATGGAGTATGTTGAAATGAATTGTCAGGAGCATCATGTGTTCCTGACAAACACTATTTTTCTATTAGCCTAACACAGGGTCTGTAACTAGCTGTAGAAGCTTAGAGCTAGATTCATGAAATATGGAACAAATACAAATGACTTTCAAGTATGTACGGACTATAAATAACTTAAGTTGTCAGTAGTCAATAGTGGTTGTTATGGCCCTTTGTTTTCCCCTCCTGTAACCATGGAAATGATTATGTTGAGAAAAAATGTATTGTTGTAATATACAGCTGTGCTTGAAAGTTTACACCGCCAGCCAAAAATATCATTGTTTTGGCCATAATATTTAGGAGATAATGTGAAAATAAAAAGGCCCAGTCTGAGGAAGACCTTATATGCACCGGGGAATGCATAGCAGCCCAGGATCTGACCAGAATTGAAGGCTTTTGGCCAATAAGAATGGGCAGCTTTACCATCGGAGAGGATGAAGAATCTCACCTCTTTTAATGTTATTTATGTATGTACTTGTCTTGTGCACACTGGGGACTTTTAAAAATGTATTCCAATGTGGTTTTACTGCAAAGGGCAAATAAATGAATCTGAATCTGATCTACCACTACCACACAAGCCTCCACACTGTCAGAGATGTTAAAGGTGGAATAGACACTACTGAGAACTGGGGGATGGAGACTTCTACTCAGGGTCAGAGGACTAGTTTCTGTTGTCATTGTGATTTGAAAATAGAAAACATGTTACAATAAATGGCTTCACACAACCACTAACAATGACTGAAAAAAGTCTTTGTATATTTATTCGTAATCTCCAAAATTCTACATTTGTGTAAACTTCTGTGTACTGAAGCCCAAGTGCACAGAGGTGTAGTGACCAGTCTGTGCCTCACCCCGCGGTCTTCATCTGACACCAGAGCAGCAGAGCGTCTTTAGCGGAGCGAGTTTCCTTTTGGTCGGCTCCTCCCGTTTCCACAATAATGTCCTGGATCTGTGAAAACATCACATCTGGATGGTTAAAAATGGATCCACACGACAGCTTTGTTCCTCAGACACAAGACAAACTGCTGCAGTGTGCGACTAAACCACAGGGAGGTTTCTAAACGGATCACACTGTAAATGTTTCATAAGAACATTAAAACATCTTAGAGCGAAGTTTTAATGTTAGGAACATTCTCAAGGTCTGGATCTGATGAAGAGAAGTGCAGCATCAGATCAATTATTATTAGCATTTTCACTTTTATTGGATTATTATGTATTCAGTTTTGTGAAGTTTTATGACGTAGCCAGTTGACTTTAAGTTGACTATGAGCTGAAAATGTTTGGAATTCAGGAGTTTGTTCTTAGTTTAACTAATTAATAAAATAATCAAATTCAAATCTTTGCACAAGACAAAGTACATTGTTTTTAAATGTACTTTTTATTTGTATGTAAAGCGACCTTGAGTGTCTAGAAGGGCGCCTAAGAATTAAAATGTATCATTATTATTATTATTATTATTATTAAAGCAAAAACACCATTATAAAATAGAAAAATGAAAACAAAATAGAAATCTTGACTCAAATCATATTTAAAATCTTAAAACAAGATTGGCCAATGGGATAAGCTACTTTCTTCAAGCCATTTTTTAATACGTTTTGTAAGATTTTGCAGTATAGTGCGACAAGATTTTGCAGTTAAAGAATGAAAATTTGAAATGGAAGCACAAACACCTTCATAAATACTGTATGCCTTCTCACAATAACTACTCAATATTTTTTAATAGCAAAGAATTTGACAAAGTTATTGTGAAACAGCCATTAGTCCTGTCTCCCACATGCAGTTAATAATTAGAATAGTGGTGTGAGGCCCAAAGAGACGGCTAAATTTAGTCTGCTTTGATTCCCATTGGTTTAGACAAGATCCACACTTTCCTTTAATTTCTCAACCATGAATAATGCAAGAGGGCATATTGTTTGAACTCCAGCACCTAAAAATAACAGTGTCGCTGTCAAATTAAAAATAAATATTTCGTCTTTTTGAGGAAAGATAAAAGTGAGACGCAGATTGAGCCTGATGTTTTGGGAAGCAGAAACATAGAAAGAACCTGGAGGCAGCATTTCCAGGAAAGAGAGAAGGAGCAAAGCGTCCCAGGGCGCCATGTAAACTGCAGAAATGTAATTAGAGCAATACTTAAACCAAGCTGAGTGATCGATTTACACTACATGGGCTTTTAGTCAGAGCTTAGTAGGCAAAGCAGTAAAGTCTCAAGTTATTAGTCCTTTTTGAATAATGTTCCATGTTGCATAATGCATGGGCCCAAAACTCTGAATTTTCCCAGATTTTTGGCATCCTGGGGGAGAATGATAATGTTCTCGCTGCGTGCGTCATACATTTTTAAAGATGGAATGTACTAATCATACAAGAAATGTTTCCTAATAAAGTGGTTGCAATAATGAAGTTGTGCTACTGCAGTGTTACCACAAAACCAAATAAATAGCTATTTTAACTTTATTTAAGTTACTATTGAGTTATTAAAGCTGAGCTACCTGATTTTGAAACCAGGAATCATTTAGAACTATCCATATCACTACTCATTCTCAAAATGGTTCGGTTGACTAACCCTAACCCAACTTAAACTGTATTTAATTATGAAAATAATATATATTTTGACCATATGACCAAATAGTATCAGGCGGCACGGTGGCTGAGTGGATAGCACTCTCGCCTCTCAGCAAGAAGGTCCTGGGTTCGAATCCCGGTCGGACCAGGGCCTTTCTGAGTGGAGTTTGCATGTTCTCCCCGTGTCTGCGTAGGTTTCCTCCGGGTACTCCGGTTTCCCCTACCACTAAAAATATGTATAATAGTTCTAGCATGCGCCTCCTGTACTGGCCCCACCCATCTCTGTGTGGAGTGAGAGACAAATGCCCAAAAAATAACAATTGTAAACCGCTTTGAGACTCAGATCTGCAGTGAAAAGGCGGTATATAAATACTTACTTACTTACTTACTTACTATCTGTAATTAATACAATTAAATAGATAAAAAATATTTCAAACAGTCCACCCTTTGCCATAACCACCACCGGTAATGTTTTCTGAATGAGAGTAGTTAGACCAATGGGGAGGGGCATTAGCTGTCTATCAAGGATTTTAATCAATTACGTCAAATCCAGAAACAGTGGGGGCGGGTCTAACTGGTGCTTGCATTTGGAAAAACGTATCTCTATCTTCACAATTTGAAAAGTAATTGACCTTCACTTGAAGAGGAAATATAAATTACCACATGGTCTCTATGTCTTTTCAGTATTGATACTTGCTCGAATGTGGCAGTTTTGTATTTATTCATGTGTGGGTCTTGTGCTGTTTTTCAGTCTTATTCTGTTGTGTAGTGTCCGCTCATCAAAATTGTTATAAAATCATGTGAGCGGTGTATATTCCTGAGCCGGACCTGGAAGCGGAGGATGATGGTCCAGATGAGGCCCAGGATGAGGCGGTGGTTTCCGTCCACGATGTCGTGCGAGCCCATGTTCTCCAGATGCACCCTCTGCTCTTTGAGGAACTGCAGGGCTTTGTCCACGTTCTCCAAGCAGTGGATACGCATGCGGCCTTTTGTCGGCTTGGGCTGGACATACAGAGCAGATGTTTTAACAAGAAAAGAAAATAAGTATTAAGTAGACGTAGTTCTGGTGACGAGCAATGGCCAGTAAGAGCAGTGATGAGTAAAAGTTGATCAGTCACTCCCTTTTCACGCTGCTGCTTTGTCCTGGATATTAACATTTACATAGTAGAACTCTTGTGTTTGCACTAAGTGTTCGTGGGTTAAAAAAACAGCATTAAATCAGTCAAATCTAAGCTGAAACCTCCTGGTATGTTTACACACATAAGCATTGTCCCATTCAAGTAGTAGAGTGTTAGCAGAACGGCTGTCAACAAATACAATTACAGTTTTACCATCACAAATCAATCAATATTTGGAATTTATAAAGTGCTTAGCATACAAAACTTTTTACAGTTTGGTCAAAAACAACCACATGGCCATGACCTGTCAACCCGACCACCCAACAGACCCATATGTTGCACACACACAGGACACTAAAACAATAAAAGTGAAATATTGAAATGTCAAAGAACTACAGCAAAATAAATCATTATATATTCTTAAATAGAATACATGAGATGGGGTTGTACAGTAGTTTCAAAAGGTAAAAGATGACGACATTATTTGATCAAAAGGGCAAAAAATATATCAATGTATTAATAATGTTTCAATCTCAATTTGCTCAAATACTTGTTCACTTGTTGTTTGTCGACTACTAATATGGACAGGAGAAGATAAAGGAACACTTTTCAATTAACAATTAACAAATCTATGACATACTTTTTACTTCAATAAATTAATATAATATTCACTCTGCTCACCAGCTTTTCCCCAGACAGCACCTCCAGCAGCTTGATGAGCATGCGGCCGTCTCGCAGGTCCAGGTACAGGTCAGTGATGCGACAGCCGACCCGCGACAGGATGGAGTTGACCCATTTAGTGAAGGTCTTCTTCTGCACGGCTTCTCGCTCATCTGAAAGGTGTGAATGAAGCCGTAAGTATAATTTATGAGCAAAGACGTTGTAAACCTTCAAGTTTAAAACACGCTGTGAAATAAAGTGTTTGGAAAGAAAGTTTCTGGAATAGTCTTCAGAAAAAAAATATCACTTCACATTGCAATACTCAACTTGATGATTTTCATGTCAAAACAAGTAGGCAGAGTCCAATAATATCTGATTTATATTTAATAATGAATTGAAGCAGGGAAACACAAGTCAGTGCACACACGGCGACCCCGGGTGTCGTGGGGTTCCCCAGGGGTCAAGTGAATTTGGTTTTACTGTTCGACTAAACAATTATTTTTGTCTTTGCAAAAAGTTGATTATAACTCTTCTGTGGCACCATATTTTATGTTTATTTTATTTTTGAATTATTTAGGTATTTGTACATTTTGTTCTGCTTCTAATAATTTTGTATTTATTTTTTTAGACAAAATGAACTAAAAAAATTGACCAGAAGTAAGAAAGGCTTTTTAATGTCTGTTTTACTTGACCAATTGTCATTTACAATTACCAATAATTGCAAGTGTTGAAAATCATTTCAAGTACCCCCAGTAAATCCTCTCGCGTACCCCTTAGGGTGCACATACCCCCGGTTTGGAAACACTGACTTATGTAGTAGCTTACGTTTTGTGTCAATGTTTATCTGTACAATTCATTATAGGCCGTGATTTCCAGCCCAGTTACGGCTCTCATAAACACACTGCACTTTTTATAACCATGTAATAAAAAATGTCTCGCAGTTTACATTTCTAAAATCTGCCAACTGTGCCAAGGCCGATTAAATGTCACTATAGTCACGAGAGCTGCAACAGTGTCTTAAAATACAGACAAAACAAATATCTATCACAATATTCGGGTCTGAAGGAGATTAGTTAAGGATATGTGCGAAGTCGTGAGAGGTGAGATATTTTAGAATATGTCGGCTTGTTTCTCTGTGTATTGAGACTTATTCAAGAAATAGAGAGTGTGGTGGAAGAGAAACCAAGAGATTTATGGAAGAGTGAGTGATCGATTATTTTTGAGAAAATCAAGGATGATGGTCGTATGTACAGCATGCGTATGAGACAGAATATATAGAAGAGAACAGCTAAAGTGCGAGGACCTTGTATGCACCCGACTCCTATGATTTCCAGTTTCTTATTTGCCCTACAGCGTGCCCTCCTACAAAATGTTTATCCCTCGATCCAGAAGAGTCTAAGGCGGGGAGCATCCCAAATGAAGAGAATACCTGATTTAGACTGGTGCCAGTGGTGAAAACAAGCTGCACATGTTACATATAATCCCTGACATTACCTGGGGAAGTAGTGAGGAAGTCATCTTTATTTATAGAGAATAGCAATCAAAATTGTCTCTCAGTGTAAGGTTTTTAATCATTTCTTTATGAAACAAATAAAAAGCATATTCCACACATCGTATGTCAAAATACTATTAAATATGTTTTAAAAAAACAATGTAAAAGGCATGACCAACAAGCAAGCAATGATTTTGTGTTTCATCCACCAACATTTAAAGCGACAGTGTGTAATATTCATTCATGGTGGTCTAATGAAGTCATTACAATACTAATTTCAGAACAGCAGTTCTGTAATACACCACATTGTAGCCACTCATTCATCCTGAACTATTGTGCATTTTAGTGGTCGGGGAAACCGGAGCACCTGGAGGAAACCTATGAGGAGAACATCTAAACTTCACACAGAGATTCCATCCCGCTGGAGGTAGAGTATAACCCAAATGTTTTCCACATTCTAAAACATAAATTGACAATGAATTGTTAATGGAAAATGTCAGATTATTATTTTTATGTTGGCCTATTATCTGGGGACACATGGTGTAATTTAAAATGAAGATGATACATTGAAAAGTCTCTCTTTGAAAAGTCAATGCAAAGTACCATTCTGATTTCAGATACCAAAATGATAATCACAAAAACTGTTTTTGTAGTTTCTCAGTCAATAATACAATACATACTACAATGTTATTTTTTTCAGTGAACTAAGTATGGTTCCTCCAATGAGGATCTGGTTTTATTGTTTATTTTGTTTTAATCAACTAGTAATTGAGCATCTATTATTGATTCACAATTACACTACAATTAAATTATAGACTTAATGTTTCTTTGATGTGAGAAAGAAATGCAGGAGGTCACTAAGGATCAGCCTGAGTCTAACGCAGACTTATGAGACACCATTTTTTCAGGTTTTGCCCACAGGGAGCAGAGTGGAAGAAATAGACCAAGACATGAAATCTGCCTCTCTGCTGCTGCAGGGAAAGTGACCCAGTAACAAGCAGAGCGCTCCTGTTCTCAGCATCAAAGAAAGAAGGAGCTAATAGTATGTAAAAGGAGCACATGGTCGCCACTACAGTAAATAAATCATGTTTGGCTGTGCTGCTGAGCCATGCAGAACAAAGGCAAGACTCCATACAGATGCATTAAAAAGTAAAGACAATTAAAACATGTAAATAACTCAGCAGTGCTTTCAGGGAGAGTTAGCGAGGTTTAGCATCAAAGGAAAACCTACAAAAGCCAGACAAACTGCACTTAAGCGTACACTATCTAACTTTTCTTTTGTGAATCTGCCTCTTTGACCACAATCAATCACACACTCACACAACTGATTTAAAGACCTTTCTTATGATCATCAACTCATTTGATATGTTCCACTCCGGCTTTAGACCCCACCAAAGCACTGAGACTGCTCTTGCCAAGGTAACAAACAATATCCGTATATATATCGTATTGACACGGGAAAAGTCTCAGTCTTAATCTTGTTAGATCTGAGTGCAGCTTTTGACACTGTCGACCTAAGATGGTTTACGTCAGACCTTGAAGACAAGAAGTACTTCGTGGAGAAACTGTGTCTCAGATCATATGGCCCTGACCTGTGGTGGAGTACCACAAGGGTCCTTGGTTCTGTTCAATCTCTATAAGCTGCCGTTAGGTCTGTTAATAAGCAGTAACGTTTTCAACCACTACTACGCAGACAACATCAGATCCATGTCTCACTGACTGCAGGAGAACATGGACCAGTGGATTCACTCCTTGAATGCATCCAACAGATCAGTGAGTGGAAGCAAAACAACTTACTTCAACTAAACTAGACAATAATGATTGTCTTTGGTCCCCAGAAACAAAGAGAGAGCCTCAACTGCCACCTCCAGTCTCTCTTCCTAAAACCTTTAAATAAAGTCAGAAATCTAGGAGTAATAATAGACTCGGACTTAAATTTCAACCGCCACATAAAATCAGTAACATCAGCAGCTAGTTACCATCTTAAAACATTGCCAGGATCAAAAACATAGTGTCTAGTGTCTAAATCTAGTGTCTAAATATAGTCTCCAGTAGGTTAGATGACTGTAATGGCTCAGAAAATAGACTTTAAATCAGCTCTGCTTGTGAAGTCTCTCCACGGTCTCGCACCAAAGTACAAATAAACTTGCATAAACACACTATAAACCACAGCCGTGGTCTCCCATCCATCTACTAACCAGACCTAGGTTTCTGAGCTTCTGGCAAGATTAGACAAGAAGATACTGACTGATCGACTACCTAAAAAAATCATTAGTCATGTTGAAACTTTGACTTAAGCATCTGCTGCTGTTGCATCCAGAGCCTTATTTCTCCCAGTGAATTATCTGAGTCTTGTGTAATTGTCATCACATTATGCACAGTCAAACTTGTCCCATCATCTCTCTACTTCTTCTCCGTATCATTGCGACCCCTCCTCTAAGCTTTGCCCAGCTCAAATGCTTTTACTAACTAATCTGCTTTCACTCCTTGACTTTAGCAGAGACCCATAACTTATTCACGCTGATGGATTTTTCCTGTACACAGAGCGCCCCGTCTTTTCTCACAGTCAGCGTTACACAGAGCAGACTTAAAGTTTCAGACTCCCATTATTATGGAGAAGTTATTTCCAAACACAGCTGTCCTGCAGCTATGGGCCTGCAGTGTACTGTACTGTGTGTGGTGTGTTAAGTGTGGAGTGTGTGGAGTGTGTGGAGTGTGTGGTGTGTAGTGATGTGCTTGTTGTGTGCGTGTTGTAAGTAGTATGTAGAGTTGTGTAAGGGCAGTGACTAAGGATGGAAAACTCCTGTGTTCTGAATTATGAATATGCACACCTTGTTCTACAACACTTTTGGTTCATGCCCTCAAGGGCTTGATAACAATATATGTGAGGAAAGATCAGACGATCTGAAGCTTGATAAATATCCAGACAATAAAGCTATGAAAGACACAGCAGTTTCTGAAACTGAAATGATTGAAAATTACAAAAATAATTACAATTTTGTTTGAAAGTAAAAGGAATAGTAGTATTAGTGGAGGTCAAAGCAAGGCGGAGATGTGAAAGAGTTGAGATGAAAAATGTCAGATGAGATGAACATTTCAGAATTCAGAAGGAATCTGTGCTGCCAGATTCTTCCAGGACGATCTCGCTGTCCCGACTCTGGAGTGGTGCACTGTTCAACTGTCATCAGAAGAAGATCCATCCTAACCTCACGAAGATCACTATTTGATTTTGTATTTATTTGTTGTTAAATACATCCATCCATCCATTTTCTTCCGCTTCATCCGTTGCCGGGTCGCGGGGGCAGCAGTCTAAGCAGAGACGCCCAGACTTCCCTATCCACACACACTTCCTCCAGCTCGTCCGGGGGGACCCCAAGGCGTTCCCAGGCCAGCTGAGAGACATAGTCCCTCCAGCGTGTCCTGGGTCTTCCCCGGGGCCTCCTCCCGGTGGGACGTGCCCGGAACACCTCCCCAGGGAGGCGTCCAGGAGGCATCCGGAACAGATGCCCGAGCCACCTCAACTGGTTCCTCTCGACGTGGAGTAGCAGCGGCTCTACTCCGAGCTCCTCCCGTGTGACTGAGCTCCTCACCCTATCTCTAAGGGAGCGCCCAGCCACTCTGCGGAGGAAGCTCATTTCGACCGCTTGTATCCGCGATCTTGTTCTTTCGGTCATTACCCAA